CCTTCATGTTCTCACAAAGCGCTCCCGACGAACCACTTCGCCCTCCCTGCGCCTCGCCTCGCCCTCCGCTGTTCGACGAGGGCGATTCGGGCTTATTTTCGGGCGAGACGCGAAGACGAGCCTCGTGGCTCATTCGGCAATCGGGGCTAGTTGAGGTCTCCACCGGGATCGGGGAGGCCTTTGGGGGATTGGGAGGTGCACCTTGGAGGGAGCCATTTACGCTGGGTCATGGAACCCTTGAGACGCTCATAGAATATCTTCTCGCCCCCGCCACGGAAGGAGATTTTGACGCTTTCCGAGCTTTCAAGACCAGGGGGGACGGCGCTCAAGGCGTTGAGGACCGGACCAGGAGATTCCGTGTGGATTCGGGTCTGGGGCGCGAGCTCGGCGGCGACGTCATGGGAGATTAGTGGTCCTCCACACATCTCGCAGGACAGAAGAGACGGGTGGTTGAGGAAAGTACACCGCGGGCACTGGAAGGAGGCGTCTGGATCCGAACTCCGAGGCGAAGAGTCGCGGCCATGATCCAGCCCAGACGAGAATTCGGTGACGGGCCGCGGCCGGACCGGGAGTGGAGTCTGCACTGCTGGACTGCTGGGCTGTCGGTTGGTAGCGTTGGATATCGCAGCTTTAAGAACATGGGTCAAGGTGGGCTTGATGCCACAGGCGAGACATGGGGGGAGCGGCGTGTGGACGCTGGCAGTCGTGGGGTCAAAGTTGGATGGCACCGGGTTCGAGAAACTACAGATAGTGCAAACCCACGTTGCGCTGCTGGCCGGAGTAGGTTCCACGGGCGATCCTCGACGCGGACCATCTTGGTGTTGAGCGGGCGAGGATGTGTTGCTCCGCGAGGGGGCAGCCGCGATGCCGGGCGACCTGGCCTGCAAAGAAGAGCGCTTCGTCGCCTTCGGGATAAGTGTAATTTTGGCTGACGACTTGAGGAACCCGCCCTAAAGGAAATAAACATCAGTAATTGAACCGAGAAGGGTTGGCTGGTGATATTTACATAAAACTCAAAACGCTCGATGCTCTTGAGATCCAGGGCGACCGAGTGCTTCCTCGGCTCGGTCTTGTCCACATAGCATATCCGATGCGAGGTCAGATAAACCTGGCCATTCTGATGGTCGGGGAGCTTGTATTTCCTGTAGCGAAGGTCTGTCAGTTCCTGGTCCCTAGTCGAGTAGTCGAGGGAAGCTGAGATGCCCTGGATGCGATGCCTAGAACTCACCCCTCATACAGCCCCACATTGTCTTGCACGAAGAGCAAGTCTTCATCAGGTAGGTACGCGGGCCGCAAAGCGGTTGTCAAGTCGATGTGCTTTAAGAACATCCGTCATAGTCGGGGGCAGGTTGTCCCGATGTGGTTGGAAAGTTGACGGATGGTGAAGGGTTCATCGGCCCGTTCCAAACATAGGTCGGTAAGTAAGGGGAGGCTATGTAGGTATCAATGCACGCTATCAATGCTTGGCCATTGACGTCAACCTTGGTGGGGCACATATGGTATTATTGCATACGTGACAGTGTGAATAATTACAAACTGAGATTCACATATACGCGAGTCTCGGTGGCGCAGAACTCCCGCACGGACCAGAACCAGCCCCAGGCCACACTTCCATTTTAACGACGCTTTGATGCCCTTTGTGCCTGTTCTCGACAACCTCACCGCTCGCGACGACATCGACTCGCGCATCTCGAAAAGATCCGCAGTGTTTTTTTTTTCAAGGCTCTTGGTGAATAAGCCACAATATATACTCCAATATTCGCCCACTTTTGTGTCTCGCGACTCCCTGATTTTTTTCCATTACAGCACAGCCCATGAACACCAGCAACATGATGCCGACGTGGCCAACCCCCCCTGCCCCAGGCACCCAGCCATCGGCCAGCTACACAGCTTCATACTCTGGTAAGTTTGGAGACGCGTCAAACGCGAGGTTGAATTCCGAGCTATCCTGTCTCGCGAGTTCTGAAATCCTAGGAAGACCACCGCTGACTTCTTTCAAACAGCTCCTGCCTTCACCCCAGTTCAGGTCCGCCAGTCATTCGGCCAGTCCTACTCCACCCCGCAACCTCCCTATTCCGTCGCGCATACTTACGGCCCTTCCCATCCTCCCGCGCCGAGCGCAGCTAATATTGCAACGAATGTGAACCCTGCGCCGCCTGTCGCCCAGGAGCAGGCCAAGACAAAAATCGACTGGCCGGACTCGGTCCGCCGATATGTCCAGCGTGCCTTCATCCCTGCAAACCTAGATTCAAGCGTAACAAGGGCGGACATGGAGGCCAAGCTGAAGGAGACGATAACCCAGGCCAACGAGAAGAACATCATGTACTCCCTCGACTGGGACACAATGCCTCTCCCACAGCAAATGATCCGGGAGGAGCGCGCGCGAGCGTCGCTCCCCACTCCACTCCAAATCGCAGGCTCAAGGCCCGACCCAGGCCCCTGGCACCAAAAAGAGGAAGTCTTGGGACTTGACCGACGCGGCAGCCGTCCATTCAGCCTCTGCAAGTCCGCCTTGGCGGGCCGGGGCCGGGGCCGGTCGCCTTGAGGACCGCGTCACATTTTCGCCCGACAGACGCCAGGGCGACGAGCTCCCTAAGCATACCAGTAAGTTCAATCGGGCGGACAAACGCCAGAAGCGCCACGAGGGAGAGTACACGACGTACCGTGAGGATACGCCACCCCCGGGTGACGGTCCTGTCGTTGGCACTTGCCAAGATCTAGAGAAGCGTTACCTTCGTTTGACTGCCGCCCCCAAACCGTCGCAAGTTCGCCCCCCTCACATCCTGCGTCAGACGCTGGAGCTGCTGAAGAAGAGGTGGAAGAAGGATCAGAACTATTCGTACATCTGCGATCAGTTCAAATCCATGAGGCAGGATCTCACGGTCCAGCGTATCCGCGATGATTTCACGGTTGAGGTCTACGAAATCCATGCCCGGATTGCCTTGGAGAAGGGGGATCTCGGTGAGTATAACCAGTGCCAAAGCCAGCTCAAGGGCTTGTATAGGTTGGGTCTGAAGGGCAAGGCGAACGAGTTCAAGGCCTATCGAATCTTGTATTACATCCACACAGCAAACCGCACGGAGCTAAATAACGCTCTGGCAGATCTAACCGCAGCAGAGAAAAAGGACAAGGCCATCAAGCACGCCCTCGATGTGCGTTCTGCCCTCGCCTTGGGCAACTACCACCGCTTCTTCCAATTATACAATGAGACCCCCAACATGGGTGCCTATCTCATGGACATGTTCGTCGGCCGGGAGCGCCTCGCTGCTCTGTGCAATATCTGCAAGGGGTAAGTTTTATTTGCCGCTCCCAAAGCATGGTAATAGCCGCTAACCTTCCACTAGTTACAAAATGGACGTGCCTTTGCGCTTCGTGACCGAAGAGCTCTACTTTGAGTCTGACGTCGAAGCAGCGCAGTTCATTCTCGACCACGAGGGCCAAGATCTCCTCGAAGACCGCAGCGGTACTATTCTGTTCTTGACTGGGAAGGCCGGTTCGCGGTTTGAAGGAGCGCGCGCCAAAGCCTTCTCCCGCGTCGACATCAAGGGGCAAATCTGACTTGATGCCCCTACTTTTTTGATCTCTTGCCACCTTGCCATCGGTGTTTCTCGTTACCACGCCGTGGCATCCACCAGCCCTACCCCCGTTTCCTCCTTTTCCTGCACGTAATCTTTTTTTTCCCGCCCAGTGGGATGTTCAGCAACAGCATCACCCGCCCCAGTTCATTATGTTGCTGTTAAGGCTGTTGGCTTCTGCCAACGCCTGCCGACTAGTCCTCCCGAGGAGCTCGAGCCCTCACGACACAGTCACCAGTTTTTCTTCTTCGGCGTCGAAAAAGTGACTTACCTGCGCTTATTGCAGCCTGGCTGCTGCGTGTCATTCACGCGCCCAGGAGCAAATCGTTTTGGCTTGCTATCGCACCGGAAAACGAAATCGAGATCGGCAACAACTGCGCTGCTGTGGCGAGCTAACCCGTGGACGAAGCTGATGATGGCAAAAAGCGAGACCTGGCTGTAAGCCATGGTCACCAAGTGCCGAGCAGCTCTTTCACCGTTTGTGGCCGCCCATTGAAGCGGCACGCTCTCGAGGGCGGGTGACCGGGGGTCGAAAGTCAAAAATTGATACAGTCACCACTTTGGTCGAGCCTTTGCGGTTACTCTACCTCTATTTCGACGTTGTTTTTGCGCTACAGAGTTCCCCTGTCATCCATACCCACGGCAGAGAGGGAGCAATTGGATGGGTCGGTCCGGTAGTGGTCCACATGGTTATTGGGAAAGGGGTTAGAGCTGCTTCGGCCTGGAGTTTGGAGTTGGGGGATAGTCATCATCGGCCGTATGTATTTAGCATTTAGTGCATGTGTCGGCCTCACGGGGGCTTTCAACAAATATTGTAGATTCCGTACTTACTTCGGCTCAAAACTGGCCAGTCCCACTCATTGATAGTATGGGTCTCGAACGTTTGTCCCACATAGGTCACACACCTTCCCCATTTTTCAGGTTTAGGTATAAACCAGAATGGAGTGAGAATCTCGTAAGTTTGGTCGACAGAAAGCCGTACGCCCAAACTGGGCCCTGGCCGTCCGAATCGTCACATTTCTACGTAAACGAGGTAACGCCGCAGGCTCAAGCGAGTACGATAAGCTTGCGGCACGTGGGAATGTGGGAACCGTGGGAGCGAAAGGAAGGTTCATCCAGAAAGTCGCATCGCGTGGGTGAAGCAAGAGTTGAGACAGGCTTGGTTAATTTTATTAACCGTTTACTCACCTCACCCCGCTACCTTACCTTCGTTTTCCTTCGTTTTCCTTTTTCGCCTTTTTCCGACTATATTTCGTAACTGTCATTTCGGTTGGGTTTTTGGGTGTGTAAAAAAAAAACCATCAAACGGTTTAGTTATCATTTTCTATTCACACTTCTGTTTCTTGGTAAGTTCGTAACCGTGAGGCCCAAGACACTGCGCCGCCGGCCGGGATTGTTTCAGCCCGCGGTTTCATCTTCCATGGGCTGCGCTGCTGGTTGGAGGGCGGGGTGTGTGCACAGCCAGCCAGCCCGTCTGGTACGTGAGAACCAAAAAAAGGGAAAGCATGAATTTGCGGATTTGGAATTTGGGGATTTGGAATTTGACGTCTTGGTTGTTGGTTTTGCTCTTGTCTGGGCGGTGCTGGCGCGGCGGTATTGCGGCTTTTGGGTGGCATGCTCGCATGTCATGGAAGATGCTTAGATGCTTGCTTTGCAAGTGAGATGTGACAGGGCTTGTCTATTCTAGGGGTTCTGTGGAACTCCTCAGCGGAGAAGGGATCGGAGGGCCCCATCAGGAACGACGTCATCGCGGGGCCGCCGCCGAGGTGGGATATGCTATAGCCGGTTCCTGAGCTTGGATTTGGAACATCGCCAACATAAAAAGAAAGGCAATTCTCCGACAGAAAACATTCAACAAGGTTCTCGACCATAGCGCTGCTCTGATATACCGGAAACGCCTGGATCGTCCATGGATTGCTGGGGTGGGGTGGCGGATTGCGGGGTCAAATACTGAGCGGGTTCAGCGACAGACACCACTCAAGGAATGGAAGCCATCATATAGTGTGGAAACCGACCGTCTTGAACATTCTAAGTATAACCAGCAGCAGGAGTGGCGTTTAAAAGACCTTGTAGATGTGCGAGAAACCCTCCGGTGGTGAACATCGCGCAAAGCGCATACAAGGCAAATCCTACGACTGGCATGCACGCGACACCATGGGGCGTACCCAACCAACACACCAGGTCTCCCGCGTGGGAATGAGGGACTTGCATACACTCACTCCCTGCACACTGCGCTAGAAGAGAGGAAGACATGGCTTGCCCGGTGACACAGCTCGGGACAGCGAGCTTGGCATTTCCCAAGTCCCTTTGTTCATGCAGATGCCGTGTTCTCGAACTTGATGATCTACGAGGCCGAGGGGGGCCCGCAGCTGCAGGCTCCAGGGGGTGTGTCTCAAGGAACAACAAGAATGGGTGAGTTATGTACTTGGCGTAGATGCATCTCTTCGAATCAAGGGCAGACTGAATCCGGTAGAAGGAGGGGAATGAGCATAATGGGAAGAAAGGCGGCCTCTTTTTCCATTTATCGTTATAACAGCTGGAATCCATCCAACCCGTCCTTCCGGAAAGTTCCATGTCAGAGACGGAGGCAAAAACACAGCGGCCGAAATCGCCCCCTGTTGTCCCACACCACAGGTTCCTTCGTGGCTTTTGGGAAGGATGATCAATGCAGGGGCTGCTTATCGATAAGTTGCCATGACGCTTCTGTCCAAGGATTGGACTCTTTCGCTTCGAGAGACGCAGTTGCGGATATTGCATTTTAATGAAATGCCGTGACCCGTATGCACTACCTCAAAATATCAGGTAAGGAGGGACGACGGTGGTGCGGCGATTCTGGCATTCAATGATCTGCGGCTATCGCGATGGGATGGTTGGAACATGACCCTGGTCCATTTCGTGGCGTATTGATTTGGTTGGTGCCCTCGTGAGTCGAGACAACATGGAGCACATCGAGTCAGCGCTTGCAAGACCAACCAGAGGTTCAGCTTAGTAGCAGACGCGCAGCTATTCAAATCGCTATTATTTGACATTTTGCTATGTCACTTAGCTAAGAAAACAATTTGGCTATCGCCTCCCGCTCACTACCGCAAGCCACGTGAAGAGTACATTAGACATCTACCCTCCCGAGTGTCCTACAAGCTTCTAGTTGTGCCATAACATCATCAACTCCATCCCAAAGATTCCTAACCCTCAGCAGCCCATCAAATCTTGTCCCATCCATTCGTTCGTCCATTCATCGCCTCCGCCCAAACCGCAGTCGCAACGCAGCTACAAAGCAGATCGGTTGCCCGATGAAACAGCAGAAATCAGAAAAAAAAAAAAAAAAAAAAAAAAACACCAAAGCAGAGTTGGGTATACTTTGAGTAGAAAACACGACAAAAAAAGGGGAGCCTACAGAAAAGGGAGCAGAAGAAGCGAAAAATCCAGTACCCCAACCCATCAAACACAAAATAAAAAGAAGATACCCTCCCGCTCCACCCCAGTGAACCATCTCCCCGTGAAAACGGCCCCATCTCTGCTACAGCGCTCCTCACTCCTCACTCAACATACAATAACAATTTCTCATTCCGCTGCAGCGCCAGGTCCAAGTCGTTGTTGCTCATCAGCGGTGGCTTATCGCCAGTGGCCTCGTCCTTGTAGCTGAGCTGGGGCTCTTCGCCGACGGGGATCTTCAAGCGGTCGATGATCCGATCATAAAGGGCCTCAAACTGTATGTCGGCGGGCACTTTGATGGCGATGATGTCGCCGTTATAGCTGAGCTTGACCTTCATGGAGGACCCAGCCGCCTGCATGCCAGGCGAGAGTGAGGTTTGCGAGGGTTGCGAAAGGGACGAGACTTGCCGCGCCATGGCTGGCTGTTGCTGTTGCGGCTGCTGTTGTTGCTGCCGCGGTTGGTGGCTGGCGAGACCGCCGTAGCCGCCACCAAGATTTTGTTGGGATGATTGGCGAGAGCCGCCGTCGGCGGGGGAGTCGGCCGATGAGGGCCGTGAGCCGGCCGATAGGCGGTACTCCTCTTCGAGCGCGCTCGGGTCAATTTCGTAGTCTCCTTCCCTCGGGGCAAAGAACTGTTTTACTAGGTTGCATTTAGCAATGTATGGTGGTTGAGCCAGGAGGCTTTTAACGTAGGAATCGAGGTTATGCCGGCGCCCTTCTGTAATCGCATCTGTGACGTAGTTGACAGGGCCGGGCATATAAGGGAGCGTCCGCTGCTTCTTGCCGGTGGTTCCGGCCTCAACAGGGAATTCGGTGAGGAGAGCGATTTGGAAATCGTAAAAGTCTTCGTAGTATCGCGCCAGCTCCCAAGTGCGGCCATCTTCGAGCTCGGCTTCAATAACAAACCAATACTTGTCCTCCGCAAAGCAGTACCGAGGGATTCGAGCCGAGACGGGCGCAAACATCTGCGAGTTAGGTGCCGACGAGGGCTGGCTTTGTTGGACTGAGTTTTGCTGCACATTGTATGCCGTCTGCGGCTGCTGTGGCTGTTGTTGGGCAAGTTGTTGGGTCTGTTGCTGCTATCGCGTTTGTCAGATAGGACATAGGAGCAAGTAACCAGCGACGTCGTCACTGACCATGGTGGAGGCCGGGCCCTGACTAACCCGGCCGCTGGGTTGCTGCTGAATACTCATGCGCTCCATTCCCTGTTCCATCGATTGTGGTTGTGCACCAGTCTCGAATTTCCCGAGTGTGATGCTCGAATTCTTATAGTCTGCGGCCATCTTCTTCCACTCTTCGACCTTCGGGATACCGGCCTTCCGCACGGCTTCATGGGGGTTCTGGACCGGTGTGTTGGATGCCATATCCCGAATCTCGATGAACGAAACAGGAATCAAGCCTGGTCCGCCGAGCCTCCCGATGGGCTTTGCCACAAACCACTCGGGATTTGACTGCGCGATCACGATGATGGCCTCGCCCGCTTTCGCATCCAATTCATCGCCCCTCTCGGCATGGAAGTCGTAGATCACAACGCCGTAGACCATAGCTCCGGACTTGCCCCCCGACTTCGAGTTTCGCTGGCTGGCAGAGGCCATCGGTGTTGTCACTGTTGATGCGTCGCCGTATCCAGAATCGTGGTCGGGATGCTTGACAGAATGTGCACTGTCTGGTTGGGACTGGCCACTGTCGCGCTCGTTGCGTCCAAGCGACTGGAAAAAGCTCACAGGCACTAGACCAGGGGGGTCGGGTAGCGCGGGGTTGCAGGCCTCGTACCAGTCGGGGTCATTTTCACGCCCGATGACATGAAAGAAGTCGCCACGCGAAAAGCTCAGTTCTTCGCTGCTCTGCGCGGTATAATCTTGAAGCGCTCGAATGACCTGTCCCACGCCCCAAGCGTCAGTCAGTGATTTGCCGGCGGGCGCGGGCAAAGGCGACCCATAACCCATAGCGACCCATAGCACGGCCGTTGGGCATCAAGCGATAACCGAAGTGACGCACCTTTTTGGGAGGAACGATTGCGACCGCGGTTTTCTGCGGAATGCTGATGTGTGGTTTATTCTTCTCTTCACTCTTCATAGACCTCCTCCCTATCCGTAAAGCCTTGAAAGCCGACATGATGATTAGCTAGTGAACGAGGATTCGGGTCTCAATCTACCCTGGCTGGTGGTAAATGCGACTGGCGCTGCTAATAGCAGAAATGGCCGTGGGTGCAAGAACGCGCAGCTGTTTGTGTTGTGCAGCGCGAGTGTTGCGTAGAAAAGGTATCACTGATGGGTTGGTTGGACAAGCCTGGGCTGCGCATGCAGCCGACAGCTGGCTTTTATGTCCAAGTGTTGGATGAAAGGCTAAGTAAAGTCGAAATGACGTACCTTCATAGTGTCAGGTATGCGCGGGCCACAAGTTGGGTGAGATATAAGACTTGAGATAGAAGTGCGCAAAGGATCAGAGGTGAGTGTAAGTTTGCAGTTGGTCCCAGGTTGTGCGGGCTTGCTGACGCTCTAAAGAATGCGTGACTCGGACAGAACGTGGTGGAAATCAGCGGGGGACGCTTGGACTTGCGCTGGAGGGGGCCTCGAGAGGGGCTTGTGCACCGAGCATGCGTAGGATTGGCAGCAGCGTGAGGGTGTGTGCCTAGTAACCACCCCTTAGGTGAATAGCATCCGGTACCTTTAATTCTTCTACATGTTTCTTTCGGACTGCATTTCTTTTCCTCGTTGTCTTCTGCGCCTTTATTTAATGCCTTTTTATTACATTCTCTTTGTTATCTAATACAACGATGCAATCATAATAAAGTAGCATAAAATTGCTATATTGCTTAAACTCTAGGAATATCTTAGTTATCCATTTACGTTGTGAAGATATTTTTCAAGGTTGTAACATTACACGACAGCTATGTGCTAGTTGTATACAAACACAATGCAAAATCAGTTGGCAGATTATCTCACCCTGTTGTCTCCTTAAGGGGGAATGGATCCAAGTTCAGTCCCCAGGGGGACTTACCTCACTAGCCTCAGCTCCCAGACAGCTTCATCACAGAGAAAAGGCCAAGCGAGAGAGCAGGAAAAAATATATTGTGGTAATGTACCACGCATTCTGGACAGAGCTCAACTAGCAACATGGTGCCAGCCGTGGAATGTGAACAGCTGACCACAGAAACACAAAACCCAAACATGATTCCTATCCCGTCCCTTCCAGCCGTAATACAATATACCCTGCCCGTCATTCCTAAGCGCCTTAACTGTAATACACCGACATGCGAATGAGAAACCAGAAGAAAAGAAACGCAGATTAATCATGAGCAGCTTAGCCAATGAAACAAGCAGCCCAGTGGTTTTGAACCCTTATTTTCCTGCCCAACGAGTAGCGCAGAGAAAAAAAGACACCAGTACTCCGTGGACCTCAAGATCACGGGAAAAGAAACCCTTTTCACACAATGACGTGGGTTGACATATGTTCCACGGCCTCCTTGATCGTCCTCAGCATCCGCTGGTTCAGGCAGAACGGACAGCGCACCGGCCGATCCGTAACCGACACGGGCCCGCCGCTAGGAATTGGGGTCAGGGTGAGATCCTCGCCGGCGGCACTACCTGCCGACCCGGTGGGCTGGGGTGTTGGCGCGATGAAACGCGGCGCCGCCACTGAATTGGCCGCCGTCCCACCGTTGCCGCCGCCGGCGCTGGGCGGCGGACCGACGCTAGCTCTCGCCGTGTTAATGGGCGTAGAGATGGCGTTGACGGCCGCCGCGGCCTGTTGGGCGTAAGCCTGTCCGGCGATAGTACCCAGGGGAGGCATGCCCCGCTCGGAGCGGTCCCGCGCTTCGCGTTCGGCGGCAGCCTGCGCTTCGGCGTCGGCTTCTTCCTGTTGGAGCGCGCGCAGGGCGTTCTGGAGGACGACTTCTGGGTCTTCATCCGTGTACATGGGGGTATCGCCGTTGGTGGCGTGGGGGGCGCCGCTGTCGGGGTGCGCGGGGTGGGTCGGATGTGGTTGTGGTTGCTGCTGTTGTGGTGTGGACGGGGCTTGTGGGTTGTCGAGGCGGCGGACGATCTCGTCTCGTACCCTAGCACAGATGGCGAGGGACGTTTCCACGCCCGACGACACGCTGAACTGCATCGCGGATGGCGGCGGGCGAGACCTCGGGCGTGATGTTCATGAAACGGGGGACAGCGTCGATCAGGTAGGGGATGTCGTCGGCTGCGTTCTGAGCGCTGCCATGGCGGCGTTGGCGACGGATGAGGAGACCGTAGCGCTTCTTGAAGCGGTGGATCCAACCTGGTGAGAATTCGGGCGGGTTCTCGTCCTTGTAGCGTGGTAGTTGGGTGAAGATGTTCTTGGCCTTTTCGGCGAGCTCTTCATTGGAAGGGTGGCGGCCGCTGTTGACCATCTGCTGGTGCCAAAGCAGGACTAGCTTCTCAACATCGGGCCAGTTGCCGAAGCGCAGGCGAGAGCCGGACAACTGGGTGTCGCCATCGAGCCGGGCATACTTGGGAGAAAGCGAATGTGAGACGGTCGACTGCGAGATGGTCTGGTTGTATTGGCTCTGAAACCAGTCGATGCACGCTTTGTGGCTCGGGCGCACGGGCTGCGAACTCGCCCAACGTCGTAGGGCGCGTCGCTGGTCGAGGGTCAACGAGTGTCGCTCCTTAGACGGCGACGAGACGTCCTCGGGGGCGATCTCGGCCGACATGGCGACGCGGCGCAGCAAGTGAGCAGCGCGTTGCGCGAAGTAGTGGTCGATACTCTTGGCGAATGATGGGTTTAATGAGGAGTTTGAGATAATCGGATATGTGGGAAGGCTGGATTGGTGATCGTTGTAAGGAGGCGCTGCTGCTGGGGTTGTTGAAGGAAGCTTGAAATGTGGGCGACCCCAGCCCGCTTTGTGCGAGACGCCAGGTGAAACCAGCTGAGATTAGAGAGGCACCTGGCATTCGGCCGATATCCGCCCCGCCCCAATATCTGCATGGCAATTGATACCCTGTGAGAAATCTTTGGAAACTTGGTCTTCGAAACCGCAACATTCCTGTTTAGTTCTGGCGTTGGCGCGTAAACGCATTGGCCATCTTTCCAGGATATCTTATCTTCTTAACAGAGCCAACCCGCGCCCCGAGCTGGAGTGGCAGAGTCGATAACGAGCACAAAGAAAGACCAAGAACAGCTGGGCCCGGGTCAAAGTCCGAAGCCGCTCTTGAGGTCGGATTCATGTGGGCGCCATTCCGCCGGGCATGTCACAACACGAAAAGGCTCGAGATCAAGGACATGGGATGACCCTGAGGTTCATCAACTTCATTCGGCACATCACGATACAATACAACTAATCCTACACCCACTCATCCCTCTTTCCAGCCCGCCTGTCCATAGCCAACATACATCAGACGACACCTTAATTCGACTTCTTGCTCGTCCCACCCATCATATTCTGCACCGTCCCTCCAATGCTCCCCTCAGTCGTGAACTGCTTGCCTATCATGCCCTCCTTATCCAACGGCCCGCCAACCTTCTGGGCCGTTCCACCGAGAGCTCCCTCAGCTACCGAGTCGATTAGTATCATGCCCGCCGTGCGGGCCGATTAAAGGGCCTAGCCTGGTTGGGTAGGCTCACGAGTAAATTGCTTGCCCACGGCACCGTGCTCGTCGAACAGGCCGGGCTTGTCATGTCCCAGGTGGGCGTTTGCTGGTGTCTGGGTGGCGGCGGCCTTGCCGCCTGTTGACCTGGGCCCGGTATGGGAGTCTTGGGGAGTGGTTCTTCGATGAGTGATCCATGGTGGGTATGTTCAGGTTTGCGGTTTTGAAGGTGTCATGAAATGCTTGGGGGAAGAGTGATTGTAAGAAAAGAATGGCACTGGTTTCGCTATTTATTTGGCAAGATGGGCGAATGTTGCCCGAAAGTGAAGGACGAATCATCGATGATGTCATCAGCCCAGAGGTTCCTGGACCCCTGAATCCTTCAATATCGCCTGCAAAGATGCAGCATGCTACCATGGCTTTGCTTAACAGCGGTTTCCAATATCTTGAACTAAACGGTGTACTCCTTTCTTAACTTGCTTTTAGTTGTCTCTCCGTGTTCCCCCTAAGACTTGTTCTCAATATTCATCATTCACTTCCCCAAATGTGATATGTTGCAAGCACCTTTACATTACAATATACAGTAGAGGACCGCGTATACAAAAGCACGCGGGAATAATCTTGGAAGCAAACCATGCCATCTGCATGGCACCCGTCCATATGATAAGAATAACCTCCTCCCATCACCCCAGCCATCTCTCCCCCCACACCAACCTCCCCCCCCGCTTCTCTGAGAAAACCCAACCCCTCCCCCCTCAATAATACCCCCCACCCAACACCACTGTATGGACCACCGCCTCAAAATACAGCCCATTCCTGACCACACATCGCACCCCCGGCTTGACCTTGAACATGCCGTGGGGCCCCACGAGGAACTCTGCCTCGTCGCCGATGCGGACGCGCAGTTTCCCCGCCGGGACGCTGCACAGGCGCGTCTTGTGCGCGTCCGGCTCGAGCGCCAGCGCGTGGCCTGCCAGCACCGTGTCGACGCGGAAGGCCGCGCCGTCGCACACGGGCACGCTCGTCTGCGGCGGCATGGCCGAGAGGTAGGGCTTGGAGAAGGCGATGGCTGTGGGTTTTGCAGAGAAGTGGGGAGGTGCGGTTAGCTGGGGTTGCGTGGTTTTGTATGTGCTTGTGTGTGTGATCTGAGAAGGGAAGGGGGGGGGGGGGCGGCGGGGAGGCGGTTGGCACTTACTGTCTGGCTCGGTGGCGGTCGCTTCGCGGATGCGGCCTGGGGCTACTTCCCAGTCTTCCATTTCGAGGAGATCATTTTGGCTCTGGAGATTTCCCTGGGAGATCATTGCTGATGGTGTTGGCCGTTTTGGTCTGGGAACATCATGTTGGGACGATGACCGGAGAGCCTTCGTCTCCTTTTTCCTGGCGGCATCACCCCTGGTGAATGCTCCGCTGTTGTCAAGGATCGGTGTTTGCTGGGTACTTCTACCAAGCATTCCCGGTTCGGCCACGGCCGGTGACTGATCCCCAATCAACGCCTTGTTGGACCTTGTTTTCCTCCCCCGGTTCTTGCCGAGTAGAGTGCACATAAGCTTATAGCCCCCATACAAGCAGTTGCCACAGCAGGGGTAGCGCGCCTTTGTGTCTTCGTGCGTTGCCTGGGAAGCAACCACACACCCCTCGAAGGGCCCTTTACCCTGACGGCACCGTTTGCATTGCTCTGAGGCCATGTCTCCAGTGACCTGGATTATCAAAGCCGATACATCCCGGGAACTAGTTTCGATAAAGCCCCTGCTCCGGCGATGTGTGTTGAGTTTGACATCCCGCTGTTTGGGTAGCGTCAAGAGATTCCGGACTGCGGTAGACGGCGGTATCTCTACCGTCGAGACTAGGTGTTGCTGGATATAGGCCCAAAGATTCGCTGTGTCACCGAGCCTGGCTCGCGGAATTATATTCCTGGGCGCTCTGATCACCGGTACCGCTCTAGTCGCGAGGTAATTCGGAAGCTGGGGCTTGGTTATAGGACTGGCTCTAGCGGGAGGATCCCTGGAGACGACGATAGGAGGTGCATGGTTCAGAATCCTACCTCCTTTACCAAGACCGGCAGCTTTATCTTGGTAAAAGCTCTTGATCGTAAATGTCCCATCACGGTTATCGTTGAGGCAAGCGGCAAAGTGGACACGCTAGTGCGTAATTATCGTCAGCAAGGCACACCGGGCACCACAGGGATGGAAAGCGGTCATTATACCTGAAAATGAAAGCCGAGATCGGCCCTCTTGCAAAGAGCTTTCCGGCATGTCCGCACTGGACAAACCCATGGCCTCCCAGGAATTGTTGCGTCAAACTGGTACCCAGCTGGGAGTAGGGAGCCATATAATGGGATGAGCTTTCCATCATCTCCTGACACATGGTTGTTAGATCTGGCGTGTCGAAGGACTCAAAGCATGAGGGGCTGATCTTACCTGGCCACATGCTATATAGCCTGCCGGGTTCAGCCTCGTCGATGCCAGTTGGGGCACCGCCCAGTGTCAGAACAGGTTCTGCGTTGGACTCATCCATGGCATACTCCATGTTCTCGTCATAGAGGGCGTTCGTGTCTCCTTCGTCCTCGCCGCTACTGTCATCGCTTAGTTCTTCATCCTCTGCCATCTCCTCAAGAGGCTCGATCGGCGGATCGACTGTGACTTCGCGATCTAAGATTCGGCTCGCTCGTTCCGCACCCCATTGCTTATGGCTACATTTCGATTGGCCAAAGTGATAAAAGCAATTTGCGCAGGCAAAGACAGAGCGAAGCGGGCCGCTATCAGCTTTGGAAGATATCATGATGCAAGAACGGAAGGGACCGATGTTATTCCTGCATCTCTCGCATGGCTCCGGCGCAAGCTCCCCGGTCACTTGAATTATGAGAGCTGAAATATCGCGGGGATTCGTGTCGTTGAACGGGTGTGTGGTTAGCCAAGCGGTATTCCAGTCGATATCGCGGACCTTGGGCAACGTGATCAGCTGCGGGACCCATCCTGATCTAGGAATGTTGGGCCCCTTGTGCTTGACCAGATGTGGTTGAAGGTAGCTCCAGAGGGCGCCGCCGCCTTCCCGCTTCGACCCTTGACCGTCTGCGGTTGACGATGTTGGGGTGTCTGCGTTTAATCCGCTCTCTAGTATGCCCCCCGTGCCCACGTTCTGAACATACCCGGCCGACTCCCTAGGGCCGGAGGGTGGATAGGAAGGCTCCACCGCTGGAGGGTCCGAAGGGTCGGGAGGCCCCCGGGAAACGACGATGGCCGGTTTCGGGGCCGACGCCTGGCCGCCTATCCGGCGTAAAAGGCCGACATGGCGTTCTGAAAGAGTGCCATCCTCATTGTCGTGCAACTGTGCACCTCGATGCTTGCGCTGTTTCGTATTAGCAGTCTTTCACTTCAGATATTTACAAACGTAACAGTAGACTCACAATAAAGTGGCTGCCAAGCTGTACAAGTTTTATAAAAACCTTGCGGCACGACCGGACTGGACAGACCCAGGGATGCCCCGGAGTAGATGTCGAGAACTGGTAGCCTTCCGGAATAAGAACACCATGGGTCAGCAGCAAGGATCCGTCTTCGCCTACATTGTGTTAGCGAACAACACCCGTCCCCGCCTCATCGATTCAAACACTAACCTTTCCATCTAGTATAAGCGCGGTCTGGGGCGGCCATTATGATAGGCTGGACAATGGCTTCTTTCCCCTTGTCCGGCTCATCGTCCCCATCGTCACTGACCTCATCGTTGACTTCAGCATCCTTCGAGATACTCGAAGCACTAGACGAATCCCCGCTATCCCCTTCGCTCTCGACATCACCGTTATTTCCCTTGTTCAGCGTCGAGCCAAGGGCAGGTCTCGTCTTCTTGAGCATAGCATTATCGCTAGGTTCCGTGTTATCGTTTAGCACGTCGGCATCTGAGGTAACGGAACCACCCCAGCTTATGGAGTCAGAGGTTTCCCGGTAACCCCGGGGGCCAGCGAGCAGGTCAGCGAGGTCACCGGAAACAGGCTTGTTGAACAGGAAAGCGAGCTTCTCAGCGAACCCTGATCTTTTCCGATCACGGTCTGACGAACCCAGGTCCGAAAGACGGGGCTGTCGATTTGAAGAGGCTGGAGTCTTTTGCGAGGGTTTGGTGATACCTGGTGTGCCAAGTAGACCCTCGGCCTCTTTTTTACGTCTCAGGGTTTCTACGCGCTTTTTGTGGACATGATCCATGGAGCCGGAAGCCCATCGCTCTGAATCGTATGACTTTAGTAGGCTATCCAATCGGCGGTTTCATTTCCAACGCAAGGTGGGTAAACATACGTTTCAAAGCAAGACTAATAGCCTTCCTTCTTTCTTCCTCGTTGGCATATTTATTCTTGCGCAAGCGATCGGACGTAGGGGCGCGAGCAGGCTGGATCGTTGGAGCCGGATTTGAGAAACTTTGGTCTGGTGTTGAAGGGAATCCAGGGATCAGAGGCGGAAGAATATCACTAATTATCTTCGCTGGCTCTGGTTCCGGGCGGGATCCGGGAAAGGCGGCCAGAGTCCCGTACGGTAGGGTGGTGAACCCAGTCCGCTTCATTTTCAAGATTGGTTTGGACCCAGCATTTTGCTGCGTCGAGGGGTTGGTCGTAATTCCTACATTTCCAGAAGAAGTCCCCAATGCGAAAAGGTCGGTTGAGATACCTGAGGAATCGGCGGCTGTTGATTTGCCAGTCCCAAACGATGGCGATGGCGAAGACCGAAAGGCTGCCACTGGGGGTTGCCCGGCAGAGTCTGCCATCAGAAAGGCGTAAAAGGGTCTCTCATTCCCAAGATCTTTTGAATGACTTCTAGGTACGAAGTACTGCTGGGCGATTCGACCGAGTTATTGGTCCACAATGTCTTGGCTTCAGGCCTGCGGCGCGTGCCCCTATTCCAACACGCGACTGGAAATGGCGGAAGGCGCGACGGACCTTCTCTGATGGCAGCTTGAAGCCTCCTATTGGGTATGCTTCAATTAACAAACCCGAAATGAATAAAAGACGTTCTAAAAAGACGTAGCAAGGTAGCAAAACTGGGTTTTAGTTGAATGGAACATTACCTGATGGAATTTTGTCAACCTGAAAGGCTTTGGAATACCAGAAAATTAACCAAGTGGCTTCTGGAATAGTTAGTTAGTGGATTTTAAAGGCTAACCTAATCAAACGGTCCGTGCATTTCGAACAGCCTCTTAAACTAGTTAACTAACTAATGGTTATTTTTAACAAAAAAAAAATAATAACTAATAAAAATATCAGATTAAAGAACACATTGCAATGCCCAGTTAGTCAATAATGAAACCGTCTTCCTCGTTATTCAAACATGACCCGTTCGTTAATGGATGGATGGATGGAATTTATTTCGTGTGACGAACCTACTTCAGGACCCTGTCCTGTTAGGGTTCAGCTTTCGGTTGAAGGTAATCTCTCAAGGGTGCTTAGGTTCGGTGCAGCCAAAGGGTGCACAACAAAGACTTGTCTCAACAGTAGGCTCTCGAGCTTTGTCACGAATATGCCAACAGGAGGGACCTCGGGTCGCGGGACGCCCCGAGGCAATCATTAAAAGGACCAATCAGGGAGCCAGGAAGGTGATCGAGGTGATCAGTGAGCTCAGTCGCCAAGCCGAGACTGAGCACACTGAGCACCAGGTAAAGATCACCAATCAGGATAACAATAGCTCGACAGTGATCAGTGAGCTCAGTTGCCAAGGGCAGACTGAGCACACTGAGCACCCTGGAATTAGCTAGGTATATATAGTCACTCGTTCTGGAGAGCTCTGGGAGTTCTCCAGTTAGCAATCACAACTACAGTTCGTTACAAGCTCGAAAGCCTACTGTTGAGACAAGTCTTTGTTGTGCACCCTTTGGCTGCACCGAACCTAAGCACCCTTGCAAGATTACCTTCGACCGAAGCTGAACCCTAACAGGACGGGGTCCTGGAGTAGGTTCGCCACATAGAATGTTCGGTGCGCTGTGGGGCAACTGGGAATAGCTTCATCCAGGGGTTCGGTGGGCCGTGCTTGTACGTGAGCTGGCCGAGGGTTACCGAGGCCCACCTCGGGCACAGCCCGTTACACTCAGTCCTCATTTACATTAAGTGATAAGTCGGGTAATATCCCACTCATTGTAACACATCTCATCCAAGAAAGGGGATGAAGGCTACCTACGAACCGCCGTTTTTTTTTTCCCTCTCGTCGATAGCGGAGTCCCTTGAAATAGGCATGGGCTGCCTTGTAGGTACCGAAGTGGTGTTCAGTGCCAAGCCCTGCCTAACTTAGGCGCCCAATCCATCATCGATCTGACGCTTTCTTCCTCTGCTCTTGATAGATGCCCAGGTCCTTGGGGATAGGTACCTTGTCTTACCTTGGTAAACTAATGCCGCTGCAGCTACTCCTTGAGTGCCGAGTGGTTTAGAACTACCTAGGGATACATCATGATCTCCGTGAGAACCAGGGCTAAGCTCCCCATCATTGACAGGCAATTGAAACCCATTTGATTTCAGGATTATTAGATATTGGTGCTTCCGAATCGATTAAATTCAAATTCATATGTATTGTTATATCATTAACTCTAAAGACTTCAAAGTTTCCAACGCCGAAATCCAGAAACGCCAAATGCAGTGGCACTATTACCTCTGCCAATTTTCCTCTCTTGGTTTCCTCACCTTATCCTTCTTCAGCTGTTTGTTTTTGCTGGTTGGCGGCAAGCCAAAGGAGAGCAGAGAAACGGGAAGCTTTCCTCTACCAGCAGCAACGGCAGCACGTAAAGCCGCTGGGGCAAAGGAGGGGGAGGGAGAGACAGCGGCAGCGGCAGAGGCGACAACGGCAAAAGCGGCGGAAGGGACGGCAGACGACAAAACCGCGCCAGCTGCCGGAGAGGTTTTCTCAACTGCCAGGAGACGCTGCTGACAAGCTCCCCAAACCCTGCACCTGGCGGCCATGTGAGCGCGCAGGTTGTCGAGGCTCTCTGTGGTCATGGTGACTACATGGGCGCCCTTAACGCCGCTGAAGTGGCCGAGGACGCTCACCGGCACGACCCATGCGCTTTGGATATGCACCCAGCTGGTGCGGGGCTTGCGCATTTCCTGACCAGGGCGCAGGAACAGGGGCGGGAACTCGGCGGTGGCTCGCTGGCTGCCTTCGAACGAGCGGAAGTTGGCGAGTGCCTCGTGGCGGTGACAGGCTTGCTTCCACGGGGCGAGATACCCGTTTTCCGGTCCAGAGTTGTGGGCGGAGACGGTGGTGACCAACACGTGGGTTGATCCTTGGGAAAGCCGCCGGAGGATAATTACGGGGTCTAGAATGGGTTATCGACCTGATTCTTGGGCGAGGACAAAGCTGGTAAGACTCACGGCCGGTAGCCCGCACCGGAATATACCCCCTGGGGAACTCTGGGGTCCGGTGGATCAGGGTCCTGAGTTCCTCGGGACTGAATGTTTTTGAGGGACCTATCCAGAAATGTTAGGATTAAATGCCGCTTTACTCAGGGGACGGACACCTCGAATTTAACTTACGCAGAAAGGCAATGTCTCCTTCTTTCCAACAGTGGGGGATAGCCGCCACTGGAGGAGGGTACTTGGCCGCCTTGGCCCAAGTCTTCGCGGCCACAGTCTCGGAAATGAAGTGTGGTGGGCAGGAGGAAACCCGAGAAGGAGGATGTTGCATGGTAGTAAGAGAAACAGAGAGAGACGAAGTCGTCAACGAGAGTGTCGACAGGAAGAAGAGCTCGGCGTTGACCTTGGGCAAGGTTCAGCTGGAGAAGTGAAAGGCTGACGGACGCAAGCGGAGGTTCTCTGCGGAGGTGGGGGAAAGTTTTGGGGGGAGTGTCCGTGGGGGGGACGGCCGTTATAAAGACGTCAAAAAAATTTGCCACTTTCTGCTGATTAGAACGCTCAGGCTTTATCGCCTACTGTCACATAGGCGATAAGGCCTGAGCGTACGCCCGTCTGACGCGATCCTAGGCTCGAGTCAACGCCTTGGCTTTTGAGTTCTGATGTTATTGGTTGCCTATATAGTCCACGGACGTGAGGCTAGTGTTGCCTGACTTCAGGAGTCTGAGCGCGGGTGTCATGGCGTCGAAATTCCAACGCTTTCCAGATCGCCCATAGGCGATGGTCCGAGGGTATCATGTGATGTTAAAATTCTCAGGTTAGCCTGGAAAATGGAATACACGACGAATACCGGTCATGACTTTGGCGGCAAACAACCCAACTGCTCTCTACTCATCGAGTGTGGTATGTTCGGGGTGGCGGATAACTCAAGTTACCCTGTTATGTACATGTACTTGTGGGTGTGGTCACGGTTTGGTATTCCTATATGCCCTTAGTTTCCCTGAGACTCTTACATTTCATTAAGGGTCAGAAAGGCAGCCTTCAAAGGTGATACGTTTGGCTAGAAGTAATTGAGCCCATGGCATGACGTCTAAGGCCTCCCTTTTGAAAAGCGAAACCTTCAGCTTCCCTGTTTAAAAAAGCGGGCTCTTATGTTAGTTAGTTAACGGAGAAGGTCTTATGTAAGACGAGCACTGCCGTGTAGTTAGTTATTTTATGCCTGATCTAATTACATAACACCTGCGAGACATCAGGGTTCACAGCTTTCCAGCATACTGCAGCCCCCTCTCGCCATCCACCAGCACGCACCAGCCCTGCGATCCCGCACCGCCCTCGCCTGCCAGGACAGTGGTGAAATTCTCCCGCGCGTACGCCAAAACGTCATCGTTGAAAGTGCCGGGCTGCAAGAAGACGGCCTGGATACCAAGCCCCTTGGCCTCCTCGAGCGCCTTCTGCGTCACATGGGGAGGCGTGATAATCGAGACGGATGTCTCCGGAGCCTCTTGGAGAGCTGAGAGCGACCCAACTGTCGGGATCTCTTTTCCATCGACTTCAATCGCCGGAGAACCGGGGTTGATGGGGGTCACCGACAGGCCGTGGGTGACATACCACTTGAACACTGTGCTCTTGCAAGTTAGCATCGTGGACTCATCATGTTCGTTTTAGATGGATAAGCCAAATAGATCTAATGAAATGGGGCAGTAGGCAAAACGAACAATGCACCGTCGAAGTGCTTCACGTGGGTTGAATGATATAACATGGAATGCATTGACAAAATATGTGATGAAACGATCAATACTAACCCTTGTATCCGTACTTTTCGGTGTTTGTGCTTGCACCGACAACGGCAAATTTAGGGGCTTGGAAGAAGGCCCGGAGGTTCGCATCAGTGGAAGCCATGGCTGCTGTAGAATTGGAGCGTCGTTGATTTAATGTGCAGTGGAGAAAGGTGGGAATGGAGCGCGTTGAAAAAGACGAAAGTGCGGGGATATTAACGGCGAGTCGGGGGCTCAAATAGAAACTCGAATGACCAGCCAAGCGGCGCAGCGAATGCATCTCCTTTTATGTAATTCTCCGTGTACATACAGATCGAACTTGAACGAGGTCAGTCCATTGGACACGAGACCAATAACGCAATTCTGGGCGTAGAGGCTTGAAGGTCACCCAATCTGAGGTGAGACGAGAAGAGGACGAGGTTGATGTGTGGCTGTGGTCCTCTGGCGGTTATGGATATCCGCCCAGGTGTTGACGATTATCCTTGACCCCACTGGCAGCGACCCTGCAATGCCTTTTTTAAGCCATATTCTTGGATGGCAGGGTGGTTGCACTCGCAGCTGACAAGCTCAGCATTTCATTCCTTCGCAAATCGTGCCCGTTGAAAACCGCTGGGATCGCGTCCTCCATTGGATCATACGGTTCAACAGGAAAGACGAAAGGCCTACCTTGGCTGACTCAGATGGCTGGCGCTTTGGAAGAATAATGGGGCTCGGTTGGAATTGGGGCTCGGATGGGGCAGTTCTGGGGTGCTTTAATGAGCATCAGTCTCTAAAAAGAGGTTCAGCATTGGATTATCATCGGGTCAATTACCTAGGTTGGTCTCATAATTCGGCTTTGGTAGTGAGGTTGCTCGCTTGGGGAGGTCGACGACCCTAACCCGGGAGGAGTCGTCAACCCGTGTGGATGTGGCTGTGGCTGGTGTGGGTGGTTCTGCGCGGTTGCCCCGCGAGACGTGTCGAGTCGGGGGGAACAACAAAATGGGGTTTGGGTGGGGCACAAACCACCTTGGGCAGCGAACCACCACTCTCGGCCCTGTCCCAGAATAACTTCACATCCCGCCATTTCAACCATCGCTCGCCTCTTTGCATTCAGTCCATTCTCCGCGCATCCAACTCTTGAAACTTTCGCTCCTGTACAGCGTCATTTCCGAAACCAAGGCACTTAACAAAATGGTGAGCGAATCCCGTAGCAGATGGTCAATCTCTTTCCGACGCATCGCACTGCCGTCCTGCTCTGTTTACCCTGGGCTCTGTTCCAAACCGATCCCCCACCTCCCGTAACAGGGTCAAACGGACGCGGCGAGAACTAACAGTACGGCGCATAGGCTTCGACCAACTACAAGGAGGCGTTCTCGCTATTTGACATTCGCGGTGTCGGCCGCGTAGCGCTCGACAAGCTCGGCGACCTCCTCCGCGCCTGCGGGCAGAACCCGACCTTGGCCGAGATCCGTGACCTGGAGAAGAGCGTGGGTGACGAGTGTAAGCAGCACGTTCCCCCTTAGGTCTTTCGGTCCACTGCAGCTGACACACTGGCACAAACAGTCGACTTCGAAACCTTCCAGCGCATCCTGAACCGGCCGGGCGGTTTCCGCGATCCTGGCGAACCAGAAGAATACTGCCGCGGTTTCCAGGTGTTTGACAAAGATATGACGGGGTTCATTGGTGTCGGTCAGCTCAAGTATATCCTTACGAACCTTGGCGAGAAGATGTCGGAAGACGAGGTCGACGAGTTGCTCAAGGCCGTCGACACGAGCTCAGGGCAGGTCAATTACACAGGTAGGAGGCATCCTTGTTGTGGTGCTGGACCCTTACTGACGCAACCCACCAGAGCTCGTACGCACCATTCTCTCCAACTAGAGGTCATGAGGAGACGGGGGTTTACGAAGCAGTCATGGGCCGGTTTGGCGACGAGGCCGATCTACGACATGACAGTCACGGAGGGAATTGCATTGGTTGCGTGATGGGCGGCTGGCGTTGGAGTTGTGCGATCTGGGATGTATTAAATTTGGGCGCCTGGATTGGTATTGATGATACACCATTCAGGACTTGGGATACGGCACACAGGTTACAACCTAGATAGCAATAGGAAGTCATTCCACCAAATGGCGATGGGGTCTGAAAATCAGATATCCAGCTTGGAACTTTGGACAGATGGACGAGGGGCATTCTTGGTGGGGGAGAAGGGTCTTGGCCCAGTGGTAGCAGGGCTTGGCACCAATTGCGGGTCTTTGGTTGTTGCATTCCAAGATCCAAGGCTGGCACGCCAGGCATGATCGTTTCGTGTCAGATTCAACCGCGACTGATCAATTCGAAGCATCCTGAACTTTTTGTGATTACCTAACTACTTCCAATGCCACGAATAATCCAAACAATCACCGACTGACCAACCCGAAATTATCTTACAAAATTACTGGGCCTAATTCCCCGCCTTGATGATTCATTCCCACCTCTCTTTCAGACTTGCTTACAAGGTGTTGGACTGACAAACTGCTGTCCCCGCCTCCACTGTCCTTTCGTCCAACACCTGTTCCTGTCCCACCTCGAGCTTCCCCGCAATTGGGCTTACACTTGGACCCCGCGGTCCTCTGGGTTTACATTCGCACCCAACAAACCCCCCTCCCATCTTTCACCGTGGCGCCCACTGCTCCCCCGATTCGGCAGGCCGTCTTCCTGTTACTATTGTCCGTCATCCTCTTCTCCACGACTACCGTCATCCTGGCCGCCCCCCGCATCGCCCCCCGCCTTTTTGCTCTCTTTACCCAGCTCAAGTACAGCAAGGCCCACCAGCAAGCACCCTTAGGAGGAGCCTTTACTGCTGTCACGACTGGTCGTCCCGTTCTGGGCACCTTGACCTTCTCCTCTCAACTCTCCTACTTCACCCACGCCCCAAACGTCGACATGGCCAAGTACGAAAACCCCCCGCAGCCCCCGCCGCTGTTTACAGGCACCAAGGACAGCATCGTAGCTGATTCCAAGGGGCTATGTGACCGCACTCGCTCGCTGCTGGACTCTCTCGTTGCCAACATCAAGCCCACCGAGAAAGCTGTTGCTACCTTCGAATCGGTCATCCGCCCGCAAACCGAGGACGAAAACGAGAGTGCCCTCAGCGCCCGCATCCTCGGCTTTTATCAATATGTGTCCGGGGACAGTGCGCTCCGTGATGCTAGTACCGAGGCCGAGAAGATCATGGACGAGTTCTCTATCGAATGCAGCATGCGCGAGGATGTCTTCCGCCTCGTCGACGCCGTTTACAACAACTCGGGTCTCGGAGCGAGCATCGCGGAGAACAAGGACCGACTGATTGACGCTGGCCTGGCCAAGAGCGCTGGCCTCGACGATGTTGAGAGTGCAAGGCTACTCGAGAAGGAGAGGAAGAGCTACATCAGGAACGGGCTGGGCCTGCCTGAGGGTCCTAAGAGGGACCGGTTCAAGGAGATCAAGAAGAGGCTCAGCCAGATCCAGATCGCGTTCCAAAAGAACCTGAACGAGGAAAACAACGGTCTCTGGCTTACCAAGGAAGAACTCGACGGTGTCCCGCAGGATGTCCTAGACACCCTGGAGAAGGGGACCGGCGACAACGAGGGAAAAGTCCGCCTCTCCTTCAAGTACCCCGATCTCTTCCCTACTTTGAAGTTTGCCAAGAACCCCGACATTCGCCGCAAGGTCTTTATTGAGAATGAGAACAAGGTAGGCTTACAGCCAGGGCAACCCTAAGCAACCGTGCCAACGCTAACATTCGGTGTAGTGCAATGAGAACGCCCCCCTTTTCAAGGAGGCCATTCTTCTCCGCGACGAGGCCGCACGTCTTCTCGGTTACCCCGACCACGCGTCGTTCCGTATCGAGGACAAGATGGCCAAGACCCCAAAGACAGTGCTGGACTTTTTGGGAGATCTCAAGAGTCGGCTGGCCGCAGGTGGCGTCAAGGAGATCGAGCACCTCCTGGCGCTCAAGAAGAAGGACCACGAGGCCCGTAATCTGCCGTTTGATGGCAATTACTACCTTTGGGACCACCGCTTCTACGACCGCATGTTGGTCGAGCAGGAGTACAGCATTGACGAGAATGCCATTGCGGAATATTTCCCGCTTACGTCGACCGTTGCCGGCATGCTCCGCATCTTCGAAGAGCTCTTTGGCCTCGTCTTTGTCGAGCTAACGCCGGAAGACCGCAAGCGTATCTCCTCGACTGGAAAGGCCGAGGATATCGCGTGGCATGAAGATGTGATCATTTTCAGCGTCTGGGACGATGCGAGCGAAGGCAATGGCTTTGTCGGTTACCTCTACCTCGACTTGCATCCTCGCCCTGGAAAGTACGGCCATGCGGCCAACTTCAGCCTCCAACCGGGCTTCCTGAAAGCCGACGGCACCAGGCGGTATCCTGCCACAGCCCTCGTCTGCAACTTCAGCAAGCCCACCGACAAGAAGCCTTCCCTTCTTAAGCACGAAGAGGTCGTGACCCTCTTCCACGAGCTCGGTCACGGCATTCACGACCTGTCCGGCCGTACCCGCTATGCTCGGTACCACGGCACGTCAACTGTCCGCGACTTTGTCGAGGCGCCCAGCCAGATGCTCGAGAACTGGTGCTGGACTCCCAGCCAACTGAAGAGCCTGAGCAAACACTACGAGTCGGGCCAGCCGATCCCGGATGAGCTCATCGAGAAGCTGATCGCCACCAAGCACGTAAACGACAACCTCTTCAACCTTCGTCAGTTACACTTCGGCCTGTTTGACATGACGGTCCACACCCCCAAGACGCACGAGGAGCTGGAGAAGCTGGACGTCAGCCAACTGTACAACGACCTGCGCGTGCAGATCTCGCAGATCAAGGGCCCCGAAGCACAGGGCGAACCTAGGTAAGCCACCCACTCTCCCCTTTACTAACGAGCGAGGTTATGCTGACGATGGATCACGCACAGCACATGGGGCAATGGCCAGGCGACATTTGGCCACCTGATCGGCGGCTACGACGCCGGTTACTACGGCTATCTGTCCTCGCAGGTCTACTCGACCGACATGTTCTACTCGGTCTTTAAGGCCAACCCGATGGATCCTACGCAGGGCCGTCGGTACAGGCACACGGTGCTCGAGAAGGGCGGGTCCCAGGACGAGATGCTCACCCTCGAGCAGTTCCTGGGGAGGAAGCCGAGTTCCGAGGCCTTCTACAAGGAGCTGGGGCTCGAGGCTTGAGCGTGTGCCGCGGCGAAGAGTTGTACCTAGTTGGGTACACGATTTGTGCGGCCATCAAGCGTCATCATGGCCGTGTTCGGTGACGCCCATAGCCTACTAAATAAATACTCCGTGGAATCAAGGTCGGTACACACCGCAGTAAATGTTTCCTAGGTGCGTACCTTAAGCCGCGTAGTTACAACCCCTATTTGCGACGAGACTAGTATGTACATGTACATACGCGTAGTCAGGTGATACCGCGCTTCACGCCGCCCCTTTCCCAAGTCTCAAAAGTTCAACAGAACGACGTTTGCCTTCAACTTTCCTTTTGTTTCTGCCGTAACAAAATCCAACCCACTGCATACATATTATGTACATGTTTAGCAAGCCCACGGATGTTTGTTTTACAGGGTTTTGGTGCCTTATGTGCCTTAACCTTAACTCGAGTGCCTCGAAGCAGGTTGAGGAGCTTCTTGGGAAGCCCACACGCACGACAACACCAACAACCAACAAATAGCCGGCCCGGTTAGCTCAGCTGGTTAGAGCGTCGTACTAATATTGTGGGGGTTCCAAAACCCTGCTATATCATGTCATGCGAAGGTCAACAGTTCAATCCTGTTACTGGGCAGATGAGTTGGGGAGGAGTGAGATTGGTTCTTTTTTGGTGAGCTTTTTTTTTTTTTCTGGGCTGGGTTGGTGGAGTGTTGGAGGTGTGGATGCCCGGGTGGAGGATGTACCTATCATGAGGCATGTACCGAATGGGGGTGGCTGGAGCATCCCGGTGGGTATGTGTTTCTTCGCCCCTGCAGAGGGTGGCAACAAAGGAGGGAGGAGGGCTGAGCCCTGGCTGTGCCCGGTTCCGTTTCTGTCCTCGTTCGAGGATTACAAACGGGCCTTCTGTTGGGTGTTGACTAAGTCCCATTGTTTATGGGGAGTTGCTCCAAGGACACCGGAATCATGGTTGTCGTGGTTCTCAACTCTGTTTTGTAGCGCAGATACAAAATACCAAGTTCCCTAAATGCGAGCTCGCTATGATACAGAGACTCCTGAATCCAAACACCATAGACCAACTACTCCTGGCAATGCTCTCCAACACATGAATCGTCAAGGTCTATCTCTCTATCGTAAAAAGACTGCGCAGCGGCCGGGCTGCCAGTGCCTGCAAGCAACTCGGGCACGCAGTGCGTATCATGGTGCTCCAACAAACTCCCTAAACCCCGAGCGAACACAAAAAAACCACCTGAGCTGAAACGCCGCCCTAAGAGATGGGCGCACAACTGTACGGGTCTGAAACCGACCCGACTTCGTACCGATGCAACTAGGAGCGAGTTAGCATTTGTTCGCAGAATAAATCAGGAGGGTGATTGTGCTTACAATATCCCAGATAGAAGAGTAAGTCCCTACACCAAGCACGGTGATGCCGACGATAAACGACAAGGCATTGGCGGCCGCGGGAAGCCAATTCTTGCGCTCGAACCATTTCCCTTCCCTGATGAACATGTACCACATGATGGCCGGGAAGTAGAAGGTGAAGCCCGAGATGAACAGCGACGAGCAGATCGCCAGCAGGTCCGAGAAGAAGGGCACGGCGCCGGCAATGACCCACGACAGCAGCGTGATGGCGGCGTCCAGGCCAATCCACGTAGCCCAGCCCATCGGGGTGTTGACGTAGCGGATGATGGAGTTCTTGAAGGCGCGCCCGTGGATGTAGCGCGCCACCACGGTCGTGTTGATGCTTCCCGAAATGAAGATGACGGGGATCGCGATGCCGAACGCCACTTTGGACACCACGGGGCCGGCCGACAATATGGCGGGTGACTTGACGTCCGGGCCTACAAAGACGTAGACCAGGGCGCCTGTGATTGTGTAGAGGAAGATTTCGAAGATGCCGAGTGACAAGATCGCCTTGTCGAAGTCCTGGGGCGTGTGCATTTCGTCCATGAAGCTGAACTGGCACAGGGCGAAACTGTAGGCGAACACGATATTGGTGATGGCGATGAAGGTTTCGGCCAGCGACAAATTCTCCTTCGGCCATGCAGACCACTCCACGGACGCGACACCGCCAGGCAGCTCGCTGGCACGCACACCAGTGGCAACGATGGTGATGAAGATGGCGGCGATGATGGACGCGAAGTCAATGTAGCCAAGGATGGCCATCTCGGAAAAGCTGGGCGGGATGGCGACGAGAAACAGGAGAATTGCCGAGACAACGGTAAAGACGATGGTGCAGGCGCCGTTGTCCGAGAGATTCCCAAACATGATGGCGCCGGTCAAGACGTGCGAGCCGATGGTAAAAACGAGCTGCATGATGAACATGAAGCTGACGATCTCGTAGCCAATGTTGCCAAACATCATGCGGCCAGCGTCGGTGTAGTGCGAGATATGCGGGTACTTGAGCTTCATCTGGCCGATAACGAAGCTGGCGTACAAGGCAACGAGGCCGATCCCGACCGTGAGGATGACGCCGGCAACCATACCGAGGGTCGCGAACGCGCCCGGAAGACTGAGGCTCCCCAGGGCAACCGCCGTCACGATCAGCACGATGGTGAGACGCTTCCAGCCGAGTCGGTGGAAATGCGCCTCGCCCTCGGCCACCTTCTGCTTCTCGTAGTCGTTCATCTCGACTGTGGGCCGGACCTCGCCCACTTCCTCCTCGGATTGTGACTGCAAGATACCCGGAGCCGGGGTGTCGAAGGGGTCGGCCTTCTTGTCGGAGGGCATGGCGCCCGGGGCAGGGTTGATGGCCGCCATGGTTAATGACCGTTATGGTATTGGGAGACAATCTTTTGTCACCTTCGTCTGTGGGCTGGCGGTGTTGAAACCAGGGCAGGCGAGGCACGGCGGCTGCAGTTCAGCAAACGTTGCTGCACCGATACCAAAGGTCCTTCCGGGCCCGGGCTTTATGGAGGGAGGCGAGTGGGTGGGAGGGAAGGGGTGTTCCCGCGTCCTCAAAAGGTCAGGTGCCTGGGCCTTGGGAACAAAAAGGAGTAGAAGAGGTGGCAGCGAGACGAGGAGCACAGCGAGACCACAACGTTTAAGCGGATCTGCAAACCCATCAACCAAGGCCAGAGTGTCGCGTCGACACTTGCCGACAAATCCCTGCCTCGAAACCCGACTTCGGTTGATATCGCGTCCGGAAACCCCGGCACAAGCGTGTTCCTATCGCCCCTTTGACAGGGCTCCGGACTCTGGCCCGCCTGTCCAAGTCGTCGCCGGACACCCCGTAGTTCATCCCACCAGTCGGAGCATTACGATGGTACTGTTCCCCCAGATCCCCAGGTTCCTAGATCCCGCCTTGCCCGCCAAAGTCGTTCACGGGGCGGCCACGGCTCGATCGTGTGGAAGGCTCCAGGGCCCTACATCAGCTGCGGCCCGTCCGCTCCTTCTAGAAGCCCACCCGCCCCCGGGTTCCTTGCACTCCATTCTTGTATCTGTGGGTGAGGCAAGGATGGCTGGCGTCGGGTATTGCGGCGATTACTCACAGGAACCTGTCATCGGATGAAACTGGCTTCGTCACTCGTCGGTATCCGTATCAGGGTACTCCAGGGTTCCGATCGATAACTCCGCTCATGGTTCAGGCGGGTAATGTGGAATAGGAATAAAAGATCGGTGATGTCCAACCGCGGGAGGGGCGATGGTAACCTGGAACCTTCCTTTCGCCGAAGCCCCATCCCCTGCCGGCCGAGTGGCGGAGACGGCAACGCTAAAAAGCTTGACCCCGGGAGTTGTACGTTGCATTGAAGAAACGTCGTGTGGGAGCGTACTGTGTACATGTGGACTGCGTATGGGAGGTATACCTGTATACCTGATGCGCTTATATTCAGTCTCCGGCTTTTGGGATGTGACAAAACCCGCCGAGAATCACCGGCCTTCAACCCAAACGTGAAGCAGAAGCAGAGACAACTGGAAATAGCGAAACCGACAGGTCCCAAGTCGGCACAGGTCAGGTTTACCATGCCTCGCATGCTCCAATGCGGACCATGAACGCTGTCCAGACCCCAATCCGCCACTACAGTCCCCACAGTTATGGGGGCAAGAGGTGGATGTTGGAAAAGAAAATGCTTGGCCGCGCGGCCAGGAACGGATCTTTGTGACTTGCCTCGGAAACCGGACCAAAGGCAAAGGTTAAAAACGCCTGGCTCGGCGCTCGGTTACTAGAAGTACTGTGCACGTTCCGAAAACCTAGAGGTTATGATTGATAAGATACTGTGTAGAAAATGAGGGAAAAAAGACTCAAACTCAACACCGTGATGATCATCTCGTAACGTTCTTATGTCAAATCGTGCTGTGCCAATCATGGACAGTTTTGGCGCGACAAGGGACATTGAAACCGGACCCTCAACTCCTCAACAAACTTGCCGAGTTTTGAACGAGGCCGGCGTTTGCCGAGTGAGCGGGTCCGCGAGAAACTCCGCTTGCTGAACGTCGGTGACGAAAACGGGAGGTGGTCTCGCGGAAAGTTGCTTCCTTTGGAGGTTCATCAGCCTCAAAAATCGTTCAGTGACGTCGTTTTCAGGTTCGGCTCATGGCTTGTGCTGAACCCTGACAAGCTTGGCAGGGCAAAGGCTAACAACCCTAACCTGGAAGAAGACCACGCTAGATTGTGGCTACTTTGGGGCTGTGGCAGTTACGCAGAATGTAGATGTGGCGCTCAGGTTGGCCCCACTGTGCCCCACGAACTAAGCCCACAATAGCAAGTAAACAAACCCAACACTCTCGTCCAATCACGGATGCCTGTCGGTATTTTGGCAATTGCGGCTTCCTCCCCGCGATCGTTTCGAGTTGAAGGACCGCGATCACCAGCCCTACCACGACCAATAAGCACACTCTTTAGCTTAGGTCCTCCGACATTCATTTGTATACGCGTTCCGGTCACGTCGATGAACGAGCTACACAACGCGAGCCCCCCTCCTTGAAGCCGCGCCCGTGTCAACACCCAACCCTTTCCTCCTTCATCCAACCGACCCATTCTCTGACGACGCGACGCGCTTCCGAGATCGCCTCCAACGATCACCGTCAAGATGGATCCCGAGGACCAATATTTCGTCTTTGAGAACCGTCTCGACTCTTTCCAGGACGCCCAACCCGTATCCAAAGGGAAGGCCTCAACCGCCGCCTCGCGCGCCCCGAAGGCGCTTGTCTGGCCACACAAGGCACTATCGCCCTTGGCAGTAAGTCTCCAGCACTATATTCTGCCAGCATAATTTTACTGACGCGTTTGGCCCAGCTCGCGAAAGCTGGATTCTTTTTCCAGCCACATCCGAAAAGCCCAGACAATGTGGTGTGCTTCCTGTGCGAAAAGTCACTCGACGGGTGGGAGGAGAGCGATAATCCGCTGGAAGAACATTTGAAGCATTCGCCAACATGTGGCTGGGCCATTATGGCGGCAATTGAAGCCGGCTACGGTAACTACGGGAAGGTTCACCCCCTCGACCCAGCCATGATCGAGGCACGGAAGGCGACATTTGCAGGGCGCTGGCCGTACGAGTCAAAGAGGGGCTTCAAGTGCAAAACCAAAAAGGTAGGCGCGCTCCGGCGAAGTCAGGCAGCCCGAAGCTAACCTTGGTTACAGCTTGTCGAAGGTGGCTGGAAGTTCACGCCATCTGGTGAAGCGAGTGACATGACCACATGTGCTTATTGCAATCTCGCGCTTGAGGGGTGGGAATCGGACGATAATCCATTGTGGGTGTTTTGCCAACGCGCAGATAGTTGCAGAGTTAACCAGATTACAGTGATGAGCATTACCGACGCGAACCCGGCTGCCTCTTCTTCGCCCTGATCAACCAGTACCCAGCCCCGAAGAAAGGAAGGGCCAAGGCAGGTAGAGCCTCCAAGGCCTCTCGACTCTCGGTGCAATCCGTCGCTACCACAGCATCGGACATTGGTTCTCTTGCAGACGTCACGGCCAATCACGACGACAGCGTCATGACCACGGCGTCCACAGCGACTCAAGGGGGTAGGAAGACGACGAAGGGTCGCAAACCCGCCGCCGGCAAGGGGCGGAAAACCAAAGCCAAGAAGGGCGATGACGTCGAGGTATTGGAAGATGAACCACAAGAACCTCCACAGCCACCTGCTGTTAAAGGGCGCAAACGCGCGAGTGACGCCATGGAAGACCATGCCACGACCGATGCCGAAGCGCCGGCTCCGAAGAAACGCGCCGCCCGTGGTAGAGCAAGCGCTGTTGTTGATTACCCTTCCCTTCCCGACTCTGAGATGGTGGATGCTGCCCCAGCAAAACCGCCCGCCGGCAAGAAGAAGGTCCGGGCCTCTTCAAAGACCCGAAAGGCTTCCCAGGCGTCTGTGAGATCAGAAGCCTCAACGGCATCCCTACGGGCCCACATTCCTGACGATGACGAGCTTGACCGCCAGCTTGAAGCCGACCTAGAGCGTTACAATAGCAATGAGGAAGATATGGCTGTCGAACAGCTCCCTGCCCCGACCAAGGGACGTCCCAAGAAAGCGGCCACTGTGCGCACTTCCGGTTCGCAGAAGAATGCTGGAAGAGAATCCTTTGCCATGTTTGACCCAACACCCATGGTGCCGGATGAAGCCGAGATTGAGGCCGATCTCGAGGCACTCCAGGCCGAGATGGGAAGGGAACAAGCCACGGACACAAAGCCCCTGGTAGTTCCCAAGAGGGGCCGCAAAGCAGGAACGCGCAAGGCGTCCAAACAGACCAAGAAAGCCAAGGAGCCCTCGGCTGAGCCTGGTCCAACGGAAGAAGCGCCTCTCCCATTCCAAGAGACAGAGCAACCAGCGCAAGAGTTGGAGTCGGAGCCTGAGCTTGAGGATCCCGATGTCAGCACGGGGACAGTCGTAACAAAGCCCGCTAGTCGCCCTACCACCGAGAAGCGGGGGAGAGGGCGACCTTCTAAAAAGTCGACAGCTTCTCTAGCCTCTGTGGAAGAGCCGGAACAACGTCGGTCGGTCGGGACCGTAGTCCAACCCCAGGCACAGCCAGAGACGGCTCGTTCTCAAAAGCCCACCCCCGCCCAAAAGAACACGCCCGTGAAAATCGCCAGAAAGGGCAGTGCCCCCCCCCTCCCACGGCCCAGCCTCGACTCCCGGTCCCATGGCAGCCACCCCACCCAGGGCCTCCAAAACCATCTCCTACCCCCCATCAGCCAGCCGCTTCCAACAACCCCCGTCAACCCCTAGGACGCGTCTTACCCCATCCCGAGCAAATCAAGCCACCAACTTCCACACGCGCTCCCCGCTGACCTCCGACCCCGACAACCAACCTCTCAGTCTCCAACCAGCCGCGAGCGTAATGCCCCAGCGGCCCGTTCTCGCCCCGCTCTCTATTGCCCAGACCCCCCAGCGCAGCTCCCCTTCCAAGCGCAACATCGTCGCCGGGCTACAGAGTAGCCAGCCCTGGCAGCCTGCCGATCTGGACCTGCTCTTCTCTTCCCCTCTCGCCAAGGGCAGCAGCAGCGAACACGGCGAAGACGACAAGGAGAACAGTGCATCCATTGCGAGGCTGCTGCGCAAGGGTGCCGAGCTAACGAGCCCCGAGAAGCGCATGACGGTCGAGGAGTGGATCTACCACAATGCCGGGCTGGCCGAGCAGAAGCTCAAGCACGAGTGCGAGGCGATGGTGGCGGCGTTTGAGAGGGAGGGGGGGAGGGCGCTGAGCGTTTTGGAGGGGCTTGTTGTTGATGCTGCTTGAGTGGTACATGGTTTGGAGGAGTGAGTTTTTAGGTAATAGCGGGCGTGTTGTGGGAGGAATGAGGTTACTAGGTTGGTTGGGCATTTCAACATGAGACTTCTGTTTAGACTCGTAGCGTATCGGTTGGGTTGGCTTGGTTGGGCGTTCGGGTGGCGATTTGATATCAATGGGTTAATTAATCTTTCTGATCAAATTCCTGTTCTTCACTTGCCTGCAGCCTGCAAACTTCGGTTGGTGTCCATGGTCTTGTGAGTTATCAACAAATCTATGTCCCAAGTCGTAGTAGAGCTGGGGAAACAAAAACCACTCACCCCAAGCTAAGCTTATAGAAGCTTTGTGAAGTTGTATGAATTGCAATATGTATTCGTAAAAGTATCTTAGGTGTGAAAGGAAAGCCAGGAGAGAGTAATCTTAGGAGGCGAGACAAAGCCATCAGCCGACCCCAAACCCGTAACGCCAACTCCGGCACACCTCAGTACACAAGTCGTCAAACAAACAGCAGAGAAACAGCACCTCCTCCACCCCAGCCACAAAAACCTTCAGCAACGCTCCGAGTTCCCTTCAAGCAGCGGCCGAGCCTCCAAATCAACATCAATCCCATGCCCGGATTGGTCCCCAACCCCCACCTCCCCATGAACCCGTCGTACCTTCTACTTCGAAACGTGGTACATGGCGTACAGCACACCAGGGATCCTAATATGGTAGCGGTCCATGTTAGTCCACTAGCCCCCTTTTTCATCCCTCAAAAAAGAAAAGGAGGCGCCAGAAAGGAAGAGGAACAGTTCGTTATACAATGAAAAGGGCACCCACCAGCCGAGAAGCGTCAACAAAACACTCAGACCAAAGTGCTTCCTGTGGGCGCCGCGCCGGAGGTACACGGCCAGCGGGGGCACGAAGAAGGAGGTGATGTACAGGACCGCCTTGCGCGACTTGTGGCCCATGGTCGTCGGTGCCGCCTTGCCGTTGGCCGCGGTGGCTGTCCTGGCGAGGTGTGCTGTGACCTCGGGGTTGGGGATAGCGGGGGTTACGGTCAGGTCGGCGGTGGTGGTGTTGGCTGCTGCTGCTATTGTTGTTGCTGCTGCTGCGTTGTTGTTGTTGTCGTTGTTCTTGTTGTTAAGGGCGGCAGCCCAGGGGTTGTTGCTGTTGGGGTGGATATTCACGGGCTGGCTGGGGACGGAGGAGTCGCTGGTGCCTGTTGAAGGCGCGAGGGTTGGGACGGGAGTTGGCAACGGCATATGTTTCTGTGATAACTGATGGCACGTTGGTTAGAATATTAAATTTGAAGTCAAAGGTCAGATCAGCAACTAGCAACCGAGGGAGAGCAGGAGTAAGATCTTTGAAATACTTCTCGTTATCATGGTACCTGCCTTCCTCCTTAGCCCCCCGAAAGTTCACATCATGGCAGGTATGGTTCTGCTCGTTCGATGTTGTTTCCGGCAAGTGGTTACCCACGCTCCTTCTCTACCAGTTGATTTTGTATCGAGATTCCAAACCTTGAAGTTCCAATGCGCTCTTCACATGTGCCATGAGCTACCTATAATTACCTACCTGGGCACTTATCATGTTCTCCCACTCCATTCCAAACCGGCATATTATTTGTGAGAGGTAGCACGCAATTACAATGAAATTGATTTTCCCACAATCTCCAGGATCGTTTTAGTTACATCCACTCGTTGCCTCATACTTTGAAACTCACTCCGGCAGCCTGATATCAGCTTCAACACCGCCCGGCATCCTCTCCAACCACCCATCCACATCCTCCTTAACACTCGGCTCCAGCACACACTCATTCGCCTTCTCAATCGACTGCCGGCCCAACTCACACAACGTATTCCCCACCCCCAAACACCCCTCATCATCACTAAACGCCACCTCCAACGAATTCCCCCTCCACCCAAACACAAAATCCCCATGATGACCATACCCAACCGAATCCCCAAAGCTCCACACAAACGGCTGCCTCCCATCCGCCGGCCACCACAACCCCTCCTCATTAAACCCCCGCGTATCCCACTGCACCTCCAGCACCACCTGCGGGATCTTCACCGGATGCGTCCCCGGGCACGGCTCCCCGTCCTCATACCCGGCCGCGCCCCCCGCCGGCCACGCCACATGGCTGACGTGGTCGGGGCTGTCGAGGCGCACGCCATCCCAACACGGCGGGAAGTACAGCGTGGTGATGAGGCCCGCGGGGCAGGGGCGGTCCGGGAAAGGTGACCGATCGGTTGGTGTACCGCGTGTCGGGCCGGAGCAGGCACGTGTAGTCGATGCCTGGGGAGGGGTCGTTGCGTGCGTTGGGGTTGCCGGTGCGCATGCGGAAGCCCTGCCGGAAGGGGACGATGTTGGTGGGGTCTTTGCGCGGCGGGAAGTAGTAGATGGTGATGCCGCCGCCGCGGGCCGCTTCGCTGAAGATGGCGCCGGTTTGTGGGACCCGCTTGTAGGTGCCGTTGCGGGCGCGGAAGTATAGGACGGCGGTCCAGTAGTTGGAGAAGTCGTCGGGGAAGGTGCAGGTGGTGCAGGTTGAGAGCGCGGCGCGGTCGTCGGCTGGGTCCATGGTGGCGTTTAGGCTGTTTCCGCCGACGAGTTGATGGAGGTGCGGGGATCCCAGTGTTCCCGGGTTGACCAGGCTTTTTGAGTGTTAGCAGGCGTTTATGGCAGAAGTGTCGGGGGATTCACGGGTCGATGCGGTCTATCACCAGCTGGGAGCATGACATCTTGAGAAAGTTGTTCCGGCAAGACGCCAACGCAGCCAGGCTTAGACTGCCCAGGCCAAGCAACCATCGCTTTCTCATTGCTGTGAGTGATATCTGAGTATAGCCTCGAGCGTTTGTAGTTAGGTATAATGTGATGCTAGAAGTAACTCGTCGGAGCAGCTTTCATTATGTCCTATTATGAGGGATACGCCTATTTAAGGTGGCAACGCAAGTATGCGTCTGCTGTAGGGATTATGCCCTTCAAGTTATTAAAATGACCTTGCCTTAGGTTGTAAATCAGCAAGGTTTCTCTCAGAATAACTTTGCGGTACCGTCATTTAACCACTCTTCTACCCGCTGTCACACGCTTGTAGACTGTAACCCCCCATTACGAACAATATAGCGGCTACTGCACCCTTCTGGTATTCTCCAATTGCCGTGGTGGTAGTATATTGTCGTAGAATCCTTGGCCACATCATTTAATTACATGAACCATACCTCGGGACAGCTGTAGACCATTGGTAACTGTCCGTGGGTTGTATTAAAACACGCTTTTTGAATCCTACGGTTGATTCATACATGGATGAGGAGATTTGTAAGCTCAAGACTGTTGGGGGCCGAAATCAAAATATGAAAATGAGAAACCGCGGTAGTATTTGGAATTGTTGCCCCGGTTGTTAACATTGTCTGTCAGTGTTCTCTATTTGGTCGAACCATCCCAGCTGGGCGGAAACGCGTGAATAACCGCTGTCTAATCCTCTGCCCGTGCGCCATCACCATGCCATGCATATAATGTACAAAAAGAGACACGCTTGACAAGCCAGTCAGCCATGTCCGTTTAAGCGTCCACACTTCTGTTCTACATGATATCACGAGTTCTTCTCCTTCCCCTCGCCGCCGTCACTTCCTTCCGCCGGATCTTTCTCCTTTTCTGCCTGCTTCCCCTGGCGATACTTGTCTATCTTCTCTTTCATGTACCGCCACGACCTCTGTATCCCACTGGTGAGCGGTCCCTTGAGGGATTGGGCGGTGGCCGGCCAGCTGATAGTTTGCTTGATGACGGCGCGGATGTAGTTGCGCAGCTCGACAGGATCGTCCTGGGCGATCCGCCGCTCAAAACCGCCGCCCTCGCGCCTCTTGAACGCAACGGAGTCTTCTTCCTTACTCTCGTCCATCATTCGGCGGAAGTCCTCGGCCGGAATGGCCAGCTTCTTCTGGTACTGGAAATAGAGGCGGGAGCGAAAAGCCTTAGGCAGGCGCCGTACCATGTTGCCGCGCTTGACCGGGTCCATATCTTGGGCAAGCTTCAGGTTCTTCGTCTCGTCCCAGACCCAGTCCTTGGTGCCGACACCAGCGTCGTTGAAGTCGACATTGGGCAGCGTATCAATCAGAGGAAGGTAGAGTCGCCGGAAGTTCGCCATGTTGTTGCCTACGATGTTCTTGACCTTGCGTGGGTTCTCGGTAGGTAACGCCATACGCGGGTCGCCAAGGTAGCTGATGCCGGCAATGGTTCCATACAGTTGTTCTTCCGTGAAGTCTGGCGGGAGCAGCAACAACGCTGTCCGCAAAGCCGACAGGAGATTCATTTGGTTGGCTAACCGGATCTTCGGATCGTCTCGGAGGATCTTGACCGGCTTGTGCAGCCTCCCAGCCAAGTAGAGCGTGTCCCACTGGGTCAAATCCTTTTCTAGGGTGCCCAGTTGCACAACGCCGTACTTGATTAGGATGCCGTTCACGACAACATAAGGGTTGAAGTAAACACCCGCCCCCATCTTGTCCTGGACGTACGACACGGCGCCAGACCCGAGACTCGCAAGCCGGGAGTAGTGGTCCCGGTGCTGTTTCATGTTAAGAGAGTGCCAATGCTGGGTATGCGAGACACCAAAAATAAAATCGATCATTTTCGGGGTGCCGTCCTGGGCCCTCTGCACGGCGAGTGGTGCTTTCGGATGTATCGCGCGAAGTTCCTCCTCGGTTGGCGTCTTCCCGCTCGCTTTCGACTGGGGGAACACGCCTGAGCCGTAGGCAAAGGCATAGCGAATTGGAGCGCGAAACTGCCAGGGTATCGCCTTCAAGACCTCCTTAAACTCGGCGTCGAACGGAATGTGCTGGTTGACCCCGAAGTTGGCGTGTGGCAGGTCCTTGAACGACTCGACCTTTACGTTTGGGTCGTATTCCCAATCCTGCACATCGCTGACTACCGACGACCCAGTGGAAGAGGTTGTCGCCTCGCTCGCCAATGCCTGTGCCGATTTGGTATCTTTCCCCGCTGTGTCCGCCGCCGAATCGGCCGCCGCATCGTGCTGGGCGCTCTCTCGGGCTTCTTTCTCGTCCACGCCTGCATTGTCGTTTCTTGCTGTCCCGTATCTGCGAGCGGGAACAGGGGGACACTCGAATTGGCATACCGGAGATGTCGAGATATGAATGGCAAAACTTGGGCGCAATGGCCTGGAGCGCGGCGCGAGGCGGCCCTGTTGGAGGTTGGTGAGCTATGACGTCCTAGGCGCAATTGAGCACGGCTTTCTGGGGAGGCTTACTCGCACCGCGGCGGGGAGACGACCACGAACCATCCCAATTTTCTCCGTCGTTGGGAATCGCGAAGTTGAAAATTTTAGGGATTCAATATTAGGAGCGCAGCGGGCAGCGACGCTGCAGAATGTCACCTCCAACCGACTTGGAATGCCATGAGGAACAAACCGGCTGGGAAGGGCTCAACGTTTGCCGGACTCTGCCGTTAAACGGCCCGGGAATCAATGGAGGAGACAGTGGGGATCAGAGAGACGGCAAGGCGCCCGCGTCATGGCAGGTGTGCCAAGGGGTTTCGGCGGGAACCCCACAGAATAGGTTTGTCTTGGCAGTGCTTGACAAAAGCCAGGCGTGCCAGTCTGGCAGAATGGTGAACACCAACAAAATAGAACACAGAAAAAATCCAAGTCTGTCCTCGATAGCCCGAAACCCAAGTTTGTTCTGCTCTACAAGTACTTGGACACGACTTGCATTTCCCTGTGCGTGCCGCCGGACTATGCCGTGTTAACGAGGTACATTGTTAGAACCCGGAAACGGTCAAACCTCAGGGCAGCCGATAAAGATCAAGACGGCACTTTTGCAACTGAGAGTGGACATTGACGAGGGAGGTTACTGCCCTTGTCCAGCGCCCTCCTGATTTCGGACAGCTTGACAGCGAAACTCCATAATAACTCCCTACTTTATTTTAGTTAGTTGATCCCGCAACCGACTGTTTGGGTCTGCAACCATCAGCCAATAGGAGCCGCGAGCCGAAACTTGTTCTGTCCAAACAGTTGCATCGCCGGCGTTGCAATGCCGCGAACGCCAAGTCAACCGAAACCGCGTCCGTCGCCATCGACGATGAGATCCTTCACACCCCAAGGCGATCCCCCCGGGTCTGCGCGACGTCCTTCTATCAGCGGGGGTCCACAGTTCCGGGCGACCATAAGCGGCGGCATTCCGAGGCCCAACGCTTCGCTCAGGGAATCTAGGGTACGGGGACGAGGGACGCGCCGACACACCACACGCGATGCTAACAATCCACAGGTACCTAGCTTTCGCAATAGCACGACCGCCCAGCCGTCCTACAACATCCTTACCGGCGAATCCAACAACCCCACGCCCCGCGGCACCATGGCGCGTCCCAGCTCTCGACAAGGTGGTCCTTCGGGGCCGTCCCCTCCCCGAGGGCGCGCGGCCACTGGCGCGAGTAACTTCAGCCGTGAAAGCAGCAAGGAGAATCAACCACCCGCCGATGCCGAGGAATACGAGACCCAACGAAAACGTATCGAGGAACTCAAGGCCGAGGTTGGCACATTGCAATACAAAATCAGCAGTTACGAGCAAGAGAAGGAGCTTGCACGGTTACAGACGGAAAACGAGATGCGCGATACCAAGCGACGGGCCGAGGACGACTTCAAGGCCAAACAGGCCGCCGAGGCGGAGAAAGGCAAGGCGCAGCGGCAAGTTGAGGCGGTTCAGGAGGAATTGGAAGAGTTGAGGGCGGAAAAGGAGCAACAAAAACGGGAGCTCGAGGGGAAGGCCAGGGATGCACTTGAGGAGACCAGGCTGCTTCAAGAGCAATTAGAGGAACTGAGTGCAGCCAAAGATGAGGCTGCGCGCATGGCTGAACGAGAGGCTATCGACCTCAGGGCGAAGCTTGCCTCATCGGAACGCACCACGCACGAGTTAGAGGAGGAGAGCAGGACAAGAGAAGAGGTTTTGGAAAAGGCCCAATCACAATTGATGGAAAGAGACGAGACAATTGGGAGGCTAGAAGCCGATGTCCTTCGGTTAAAGGCGCAAACCGGCGACGCTGAGACCATCGCCGTCATCCGGAGGGAGTTATCCGACCAGGTCACACACATCCGCAACCTAGAGGCGAAAAACAGGGAGCAGGTGACGGAGCTGAGACATCTTCGCCAGATCCACAAGGCTGTGGAGATCGTCGAGGAGGAGAAACGCTCGCTCCAGCGGAAGGTAGAGGCAGCTGAGTCGATTCAGAACGAACTCGACGAGCAACGGAGGCAGAGGCAGAGGCTGGAGGATGAGAGGCAGTCGTGGGCGGGCTACCTTCGGGGCGCGGGGGGCGCCGATGGCCAAAACGAGTTCGACTCCCCTGAAGCTGTAGCCAGGGCACTGGTGTCGGAACGTTTGCACTCTGCCTCGCTCGTCGAGCAGCTTGGAGAGCTGCAACCCGAAATTGCCGACCGCGACAACATTATCAAGGCATTGGAGAGTGAGAAGGGCAGACTTCTAGATCAGATCGAGAAGCTGAGGGCAACGGGGGGTTCCGCCGGTGGCAGCGACAAGGCTCGCGCGCGTCTCGACCGACAACGCGCTCTCGCGGTCAAGGAAGTTGAATATCTCCGGGCACAACTTAAGACGTTCGACATGGAGGACATGACGCTGCAACCGGAGAGCGTGGACCACCAAAAGCTAAAGCGAATCCAAGAGCTCGAAGACCTCGTCGACAAATACAAGGCCGAGGTCGCCACCCTGCACGCGGACATTACCTCCATTGAGTCCGCCTCGGCGAGCCCAGCCCAGCCCGTGGCTGGGAGCAAACGCTCACGCGAAGCCGACGAGGCCGAGAACGAACAGCTAGGGCAACTCGCGCGCAAAAACCGGAAACTACAATCCGAGTTATCCGACGTCCAAAACGCTCATCGCCTCCTCCAAAAGGAGCACGAGGTCACCGCCTCCCAGCTCGCCTCAGCGCAAGCCCAACTGCAAACACGCATCCTCTCCCTCCGCTCCAACCCCACCTCGGACCACGAAACCGCCCAAGCGGCCACGCTCGCCGCGCTCAAACTCGAGAACGCCGAGCTGCTCGCACACATCGAGCGACAGCCCACCCTCTTCGCCACGGTGCCCGCCTCGCAGCTCGCCGCCGCGCAGCGCAGCGTGGCCGAGGCGCGGGCGGAGACGGCGTCGGCGCACAAGTCGGCGCGGCGGCTCAAGGAGGTGTGGGGGGCCAAGTCGGCCGAGTTCAAGGAGGCCGTGTTCAGCACGCTCGGCTGGACCGTCACCTTCATCCCCGGCGGCAAGATGCGCGTCGAGAGCGTCTACCACCCCTCGCGCACCGACGAGCACGAGAACAGCATCGTCTTTGACGGCGAGAAGGGGACCATGAAGGTGGGCGGGGGTCCGCGCAGCGCGTTTGCGCAGCGCATCGGGGATAATATCAAGTTTTGGGTGCGCGAGCGCGGGTGTGTGCCGTGTTTCTTGGCGGCGTTGACGTTGGAATTTTGGGAGGAGCAGACGAGGGCTGGTGGGAGGGTAGAGGGTTCATAGACTAACTAGGGAGGGGACTTCTAATGCTAAAGGAAGGGGGAGGAATATACCATTGTGATTTGCTTTTATTTTGTTGCTCGCTTCTGAGATTTTAGCTGCTGTATATAAATCTTCAAGACTAAGATGGTACCGCATCGGTTGAAGCGGACACGGCTGCTGCCCGAACCAGGGAGGATATTATTTTAAAGAGAAACCAATCCGCTCATCGTTTAGACGCAATCAACAAAAGAATAGATATGTAGGTATGTACAGTATGTGCATTCTCGTTCTCCAACCCCTCTCGGGGCCTCTCTCCAATCCCCGGCCAGTAACAAAGAAAATCGCTTCTTAAGACATGTCCCCTGTGGTATCAGCTCCTCGGTCTATCCATCGTTTGCTGCAAACTCAAAACGAGCTTCAAGACACAAAACCCCATCATTACTTCAACGCTCCAACCCCACTTACCCCTTATTTCGACTCGTACTTCCCCCCAACTAGCCTCCTCACAACCGGTACTTCGGCCCACGCTCTCCCTTGCTCCGCCGCAAGATCCGGCGACGCCGGCGGCGAGGTGGCATCCGCAAACGGATCCTCGTCCTCCACTTCGACCGCCTTGCCCTTACCCTTCCCCTCAGGCAACAGCCTTGCAACCGAGATCCCACTGCCCGCGTCCGCACTGCTATTAGCCGGAGGCGCCCACTCCCACCTGACCTCCACCTTGCCCGGCATCGGCTCCGCGTTCTGCTCGCCGATGACGCGACAGATGATCTTAGCCCAGTCGTCCGTCAGCGTGACATCCCCGAGCCGCCAGTACACAATGTGCTTGTCCTTGAGGTGGGTCCCCGAGGGCTTGGTCTGCACGCCACTTGCACGAGCGCCCTCGTAGGTAGCGACGAAGACGACGTTGGATAGCGTGACGGGCCGGGGGAAGGCACAGGACGGGTTCAGACGGTACTGCAAGAGGAGGCCAAGCTTGTCGGCTTGGGGCTTCCAGACGGGGTGGATCGCAATGGGGCATTGAGATACCAGGGCCGTGTCCGAGTCGGCATGTACGCGGTAGGTGAAGGCGCTGGTGGTGGTGTTGAGGTGGGACAGGTCAATCGAGAATTCGTCGGGGGCGGTGGTGTTTGTTACGAAAACGCGGTTGGGTCCAATGGATTCGAGGAGAGGGAATTTATTGAGACGAATCGTTTCATGGTCTGCAACGGTGAGCTTGCGCCAATTGCCAGCTGGTGGGGGAGTATTACCTGCAAAGGGGGCATCGGGGTCGGGCACATAGGCGAGCGCGATCTCGCCAGTGACCTTAACCGAGTTTGGTTCCCCATCTTGGAAAGTAGCAGACACGGTCTCGATGATGGAGGAGTGTAACCCGGGACCGTATGAAGGTCCATGCATCTCGGGATGCTTCAACCGGGCCACACTGTTGTACGACGATGTGCCGCCGAACGAGGTGCCGGATCGGATAGACTGAGTATCCGAAGCATGGCTTGTCTCGGAAGAAAACGTCATAGATGGCGGGAGCTTTGGCACCGTCGCACTCGTTGGCAATGAAGGCGAGACCGGGAAAGGATTCTCGGAAGAGAGCTCCTGCGTTGGCAAAGACGGCATGTAAACAGTGTTCCGGACATCTCTCCGGCCCCGGACGGTCCCTGCCTTCCGTGACGGCATTCCCATGTTCAGGGCATTCGCAACGCTGGACAAGGCTGCTTGTTTCGCATCCTGGTCTTCCTCAGGGATAGGCTCGTTTTGAATGTTCAACTTGAACATATGGTCGCCTTCCTCGCCTACCGCTTCTCGCTGCGCCTGGGAGATGGGGTCATTCATCTCTGGTGGTATTGTGAAACCCTCGGCATCCTTGCCCGATTCATCTTTGCTCTGCTGTGGCTGGGATGGCGGGTTTGCGTCAAAGATGTCTTCGGCGGTTCCGTTAAGGAGGCTCGGTTGTGAGGTCTGGTTGTCCTTGGATGCTTCCCCGCTAGTAACCCCGTTTGTGCCTTCATGAGACTTCTTCGCCGGTTCGGTCTCGGCGGTGGACCTCCGCCCTTGTTCCGCTGTTGGGCTCTCGGCCAGCGACGGTAGCCTGTGCTGCGAGTCGGCCAAATTGTGAGATGAGGCCCGAGGAGACAACGTCTGGCTATGGCTGCTCCCGATGCCACGTGAGAAGGAGCCGAGACTCTTTGGAGGGGAGCCGAGTTGGCCGAAGCCGCCATGGATACTCTGTCGCCGACGGCCGAGCATAGTGCCAATCCGACTTCGCAGCTTTGATTCTGTTCTCTCATTAGTAACTGGGAACGGGTGACAGGTAAGGGTTTATCACATACCAGGAGGATTCTCCCTTTGGCCCGAATGCTCACTGACGTCGTCCGCGGTGATGCTCGGGGGTGCGGCGGTTGGGGTCACAGGGGTCGGTTGCCGTGTCGTTGTCGACTTCCTCTCGATCTTTGGCTTCCCAGCAGTGGTTTTCTGCACAAAGTTTTGAATCTCCTGCTCAGTGTTGATCTCGAGCATGACGTTGAGCACTTCCTCCGCGGCGGCTTGGGTCCGTGTCGCCTGGTCAATCTCGTGGGTCTCGAATTGCGTTAAGACGTCACGTAGATGGTTTATCCGTTGCTCATCCAGAGCTTGGAGGGTCTCGTAGATGAAGGGCGCTTGTGACTCCCATGTCTGGGTCGCCGACTCGAGTCTTGCCGCGGCCTGATCAACCTTTTGCGCGTTGGCCCTGCCTCCCTTCCTGCTGAGCTTTTCCGACTTCTCGGTAGCGTCCTCCAGTTCCTTGGCCATTGTACTCAGATTCGCGCTGATGGTTTGCATGTGCTGCATCTCCTTCTTATTCTGGAAGTTCCGGAGGGAAAACTCGACGTCTTTGTCGATGCGCTGGGCGAACAGCTGGTGTGAGGCAGCAATGCCGTCGGTAGAACTGAGAATCTTGTCCCATGGGGCCTGGAAGATGCTATGAGAAGAATTGGTTAGTTGAGAATCCGGTGGAGGGAGTAACACTGGCCAGACGAACCCAAGCTCCGTTGCAGCGCTCGGCACCTTGTAGACCAACAGTTTACGGAGGCCAGCAACATATTGTTCTTCGACTCTCCTGCGCTCCTATCACAATCTCAGCCCCGCGCCCCGCAGGGTTGCAGCATTTTGTAACCGTACCTGAAGCCAATCTGCGATCTCTTGGTTGGCTCTTGTGATCCGCTTGACCCGGTCCGACAGCGCTTGCACGGCCTGGGTGGGTTGCAGGTTCGCCTAGAAAATGCCGAAGATCAGCGGTCAGATCACTCTGCACAACGAAGAATGGACAAGCCGCATCAGGGAAGTCGTACAAGCATTCCCGGGTACTCGGCGCGGGAGAGGTCGTCGGCGGAGGCCATCGTGGGGAGGGAGGAGTCGGGAAACGCGACCTAACGACAACGAGGGCACCTAATCAACGCATAACACTGGAATCGCAAGCAATATCGCCAGCAATCCGTTATGACAGCAAGGCGGGCAAACGACAGAGACGATCGCAAGGCCACAACGAGAGTTTCCGAAGTTGAAGCGGCATGCAAGGAGGAACAGCCGGGAAGGCGCATTGATGTCAGGGTGGATGAAGATGGAGCTCGCATTTTTGTGGAGTCCTCAGCCTGGTCAACGCCGAGCTGTCCGCAATCAGCCAATCGTTGGTGTTTTCAAGGCGAATGCAGATCCACATAAGCCGGCCCAAGACCCGCTCGAAATCCATCGACGGCTGATGGGGCTCCGCCAACAAAGAAGCCTCGAACCCTAAGAACAAGCATTGTTTGAACCCCTAGGACCCTGCAGAATGTCGCATGTCGAAGCCAGTGGACAGCCCTGGCATCGATATCAAATTGAATGGAACCTGGAAAGCCTCATGTTCCCAGGTTGATGCTATTATCTGTTCGCCCCATTTCCAGATTCAACAGCGGGCACGGACACCCCAAAAGCTCCGAATCAGAATTCCAGTAACCATCATCAACAAGTTTGTTTCTTTACACCCAACTTGGTATCCCGGGCAACGGTGCAATTTGTACCTCCTAGCATCGGTAGGGTTGGAACTCACATTTTCATCACATCTCGTCTCATTTATTGAGAATACGAAATGGCCGATCCCACTGACTGGCGAGCTTCACTCACTGCCTCGGAGCGATATGATAATATTCAGAGTTTGTGAGAAACAATGAACTCGAGTCAGAGATGCACGGAGCCTGGCCTAACTTGTCTTCGTAGAACCACAGTGTTAACAAGTCGCGGGCTGAGCCAGAGCGCCTTTGAGATTGAAAATGAGGCGTACAAGACATCGATAAGCCGGGTATGTCAAAGGTCTTACTCGGGAGGCAGCTCATCCTGACACGCCATCAGGAAGAATATAACGCAGCTTGCAACCCGCCAACTTCCAGTGTTGAACCCCCTGAATCCGCCTTGGCCGCATTGGCAACACCAGCCCCTGAGGCCAACGACCGAGAATCATCTCCGGGAATCACCATAGGCGACTACCACGACTGCCATTACATCGCCAGCGGCGTGACAGCCGCAGTCTACCGTGCCCAAGCCCGCGCTCTCAAGGTGATCGTCGAAACCCACAACATCGAGCCGCACAGCCCGCAGCGCGAAGCCAAGATGCTCGCCTCCCTCCGAGCCTCCAACGCCCCCAACATCATCCCCCTCCTCGAGACCTTCCGCGACCCCCAAACCCAAAACTTCGTCCTCGTCTTCCCCCTACGCCCCCCTCACCCTCGCCGACCTCCTCACCACCCACCAACCCCCATTCTCCCCTCTCCCAACCCCCCTCATCCGCACCATCTTCACCGCCCTCTTCCGCGCCCTCCACCACCTCCACACTCATGAATCCATCATCCACCGCGACATCAAACCCTCCGCCATCCTAACTCGGCCACTCCCACCCCCACGCACCCCCTCCCAAATCCCACCTCTCCGAGTTCGGCAGGGCCTGGCACCCCGAAGCTGTCTCGCCCCGCCCTCGGCGTACGGCACGAAGCACGAACCCAAAAAGTCCTCGAAGTCGGCACGGGCGTCTACCGCGCCCCCGAGACCCTGTTCGGCGACCGCGCCTACGGGCCGGGCATCGACCTCTGGGCGTCCGGCACCACCCTGGCCGAGTGCTTCCTGCGGCGGCCACTGTTCGACTCGCCGCCGGCGCACGAGGACGGCAGCCAGCTGGGGCTGGTGCTGAGCCTGTTCCAGACGCTCGGCACGCCGACGCCCGCGACCTGGCCCGAGGCGAGGGCGTTTCGCACGCCGCCGTTTGAGATGTATCGCGTGTTTGAGGGGAGGGTGGCGAGGGAGGGGTGGGAGGGTTTGGTACCTGGGGCGGAGGGCGGGTGGAGGGGGTTAGTGGAGGGAATGGTGAGGTTTGAGAGTGGGTGGAGGGTGACGGCGGGGGAGGTGAGTGATTCTTTTTTGTCCCTTTTTGTTGTTGGATTTTTTTCTTCGGTGAGGAGTTACTGGGATGTGCTGACCTTTTATGAGATAGGCGTTGGAGTTTCCTCGTATGAAGGGGGAGGCTGAGACCTGAGGGCTAAGTTAGCGGGCCCAGACCTGGCGTTGGTTTGGGTTATGCTATGGAAGCATAAATGGAAGGAGTCGACAATGATATAGCACTGGGTATATTGCAGATCTCAATCTTCGTCAGGCTCTATTGAGGTCTATCATGATCAACGGCCCGCCGTCCCACACCCAATTTTCATGGCAGACGATCGCTGGTATTGTTCCTATCCACCCGTGAGCTCGCATATCGGCGTTGGCCTGATCATGTGCCATGCCAGTGACATGAGGGTCCTCGACCCGAGTCCCTAATCCGGATGTCCCATGAAACCGCCTCGACAGGAAGTCATTTCATGGTGTATTCGTAGTCTTACTCGAGTTCGATCGTCCCGGGCGGCTTGGAGGTGACGTCGTACACGACGCGGCACACGCTGTTGACTATGTTAGCGACGACAGGTGCAACGTCGAGAGAGATGCATGCATACCCGTGGACCTCGTTGACAATCCTGTTCATAACCCGCTGGAGGAATTCCCAAGGGAAGTTGTAAGCTTCGGCCGTCATGAAGTCGGTCGTTGTCACGGCGCGGAGGACGATGATCTGCCGGGCATTAGTAACACGCGACAGGGAAGCGGGTGCAGCACCCGGGTAGCGCAGCATACGTAGCCGTAAACTCGCTTATCGCCCATCACGCCCACGGCGCGACTGGGATCGACGGCGGCATAGGCTATGGGACAAGTTAGTTTGCGTTCCTAATTCACGCGGTTTTGTGGAAACTAACCTTGGGAAATTTGGTCATAAATCCCCGCCTTGCGGATCTCAGAGATGAAGATCTGGAAGCGAATGTCAGAACGGGCATAATCAAACCACAGCCTCGACGGAGAGTTTCTTTACATGGTCAGCCTGGCGGGCAATCTCAACCTTCTCGGGAGTCACCTCGCCTAGGATTCTGACGGCAATGCCAGCTGGGAGTGGTCAGTGCTGGTACAAAACGCCTGGAAGCAAAGGAGCGGTCTGTCCTACGGCCAGGGAAGGGATGCTATTGGGACCCAGTCAGCAAAGGCACCAATGGAGGGAAGAAGGGTCCGCGGACATACCCTCATCACAAGTTCCTCCCGGATCCCCAGGGCACGTCCAAGCGCTGCAGCTCGTTAGTCTCGTGTCTCACGGCTGGAGGGCAAATCCCCGAAGCGATGTTTGATTTTCTTAGCGCCACATACCGCGGACTTCATCCTATTCGACAGTTAGTTTCAAGGGAGTCACGTCATGGGTGGAGCACAAGGGGGAACACACCTTATACAAGGATCTCAGGGGCTCGATCAACTTGAGACCTTGTCCGTTGGCCATCCGGGCGGGGAGGCCACCACTTGCAACTCGAGTCAATATTCCTTCTGGGCCTGATTGGGGCGACGCGTCCGACCGGGACGAGGGGCGAGCAGACATACACATTGTGGTGGGTCTAATGATAACCGTCAGCATTTCCAGGCGTCCGGGTGCGGTGGGAACGAGCTAACCTTGATGGTGGCCGAAGGGCCCTTGAACGAGAGCGACTCGATCACATCCGGGTAGAGGGTGCCTCTGCCGAAAGTTCAGTAAAATGCGGTGTGCGTTGGTTGCTGATTGACAACTCACTGCATGAAGAACTCGATCTTGCCAGCCTTGGCTGGGTCATTAGCGGCAGCCTCTTCGATCTGTCGCTCGTCAGCCGTCTTTGTCGATTGGAAGCGGGAGGTTTCCGTCGGGGGCAGAGGGGAGACGCATACCTTGACTGCTTCCTCCTCGAAAATGTCGATAAACTTGCCACCTATTCAGCGGTTAATCTCGAAACGTCGGATTCCCACTGGTTAAGAGGTGGGATTCGGGAGAGCCCGGAGAGGGCATGCATGCGAAACATACCAATGAACTTCCGCTTTTTCTAGAAGGGGTGTTAGTGGTGTTACAAAAACGTAATAATGCGGGGGAGGGCGAAATACTTCGGGGTCATCAATACCCTTCAGTCCATCGAGGAACCGGTCCGAGGCCTCGACGACGGTGAGGTTGATGCCAAGCGCCTCAGTCAGGTCCTTCTTGACCTGCTCGCACTCATTCAGTCGCATAACGCCATCTGATTCGATTCCGTTAGCCCGGGTCAGTGTTAAAATCAGGCCTGCAGGGAATTACGTACTATTGACGAGCACGGCCCAGAACCTGGAACCAATCGCTTCTTTCTGCACACCGTCAGTTTCAGCTCCCCTGGGCCCACGGGGAACATCTCGGCCCCGGAACTTACCATTAGTTTCGCGGCAACCGTTGAGTCAACGCCACCACTGATGGCAGCCAACACCTGCCCCTTTTCACCGACAGTGTGGCGAATTTGGGCAATCGCCTCTTCCAGAAACTTCTGCATGGTCCACTCTTGCTTGCAGCCGCAGATGCCGACGGCAAAGTTCTTCAAGAGTGCGGTTCCGTTTTGGGTGTGTGTAACCTCAGGGTGGAACTGCAGGCCGTAGATTGGCTTGCTTTGGTGGCCGATGGCGGCGTATTCTGAGTTGTCCGACGTGGCAACCGTGTGGAAGCCGTCTGGCAGCTTAGCCAACTTGTCGCCATGGCTCATCCACACCCGCATGGACTCCTCGATACCCTCAAAAAGGCGGTCAACGTGGTTATCGATGGACCGCGCCTTGAGCATTGCATGGCCATATTCGCGGTGCGTGCCAGCAATGACATTGTCCGGGTTGAGACGGTAGGCCAGCTCCTGCATGCCATCTTTGGCCCCCAAAAAGTCAGCTGCGCCCCCCAAGTTAGAACCGGATACAGGGCGGTAATCACATACAGCAAATGCCGAGAATAGGCACGTCTGAAAATCAAACTGGTCAGCCATAAGTAGACGGGCCATATCAGGAGGCATGCTGACTTAGGTCGAAGACCGCAGGGTCAACATGAGGGCTGCCTTCCTCGTAGACAGAGTAGGGCCCGCCCGAGAGAATGATGCCCTTGGGGACGAACTTGAGCTCCGACAGCTTCTGGGTGCATGGCAACATCTCGGAGAAGACGTTGAGCTCACGGAGACGGCGAGTAATCCTTCACACCGCGGTTAGTCGGATCCCATCATATCCAAAAGTTTGCCTGGCTTGCAAAGTTGCGATGAATGGGGCGGCTTGAGCGAGGACGACAACGTCGACCAACAACGTCTTTGATTTTCAAAAATCGTGATAACATACAGGTGGGTATACTGTGAGCTATTTGATGCAATCTAGTCAGTTCTTGCGCTTTTCATTTTTCATTCTCATGAGTCCAGGGCCGCTCATTGCTCACCCAAAGTCGAGCACCAAGATGGTGTCGAAGGCACTGTGGGCCATGGCCTCTCCCGGTCCGGCAGCCATTGCGAATGATGGTTTCTTTTTTTTACTCCGTTTAGTCGACTCAGGCAACCAAATCGTGCTGTGAACTGCAGTTCTGATTTGGGCGAAGGTGTGAGTGGTAAAAATTTGTGACCTATCAATTTTGCCCGCCTCGTCGCGGCCGACGCTCGGAGTGGGTTCTTTTTATCACTGCCTGAAAATCGAGGTTAGGGCCGCCTGTTCCCGCCCGTTCCCGCCCAACTACCCTACTTGCCCCGCTAAATGCTGCAGCTTCATGTTCTATCCGATACAGCGCATTCCCCCCAAGTTTTTCTGTGTGCACCCGCACCGCACATAATCGGTTTCCCATCTCGAGAAGCGGAACCAGGTCCTTCGGAAGCGACACCTTGGCCGTGCCATGTCAGCATCCGAACTCCCGTGCAATCTCCGGCTTGGCAACGGGCCGAGCCCGACATTAAACATTTCGCAAAGGAGTGGGCTCCGGGAATGACCGGCCAACCAAAGTGGCATAGTGCTTGTCCATCAATAAGCCAGGCCAGCCGGACCAGCCACACGCACAGGGATGCCGGGTAGATCTGCGGAGGCACTTCCACGCGAGCCATGTTGGCGGGTCCTACTTCGCCTGTTACACCTTCATCAGCCATGTCGTCAACGGCGGTAATGGGGCGTTTCGCCTAGGTCTCGGCAGGCGGTAACTAGACGCGGAAAGCGTGTGGGAGAGGACACGGGGTGGCTGTGGGATACCCAGATCGTACAGGTACCAAGGACCACCGGAGCTGGCCCCTCACCAACCATAAGTGCTCGGAGCTGCGGCCGCAAATTTAGGTCCATTTCCGCCGTGCCTTCGGGCTCTCCCACTGTTGTTGGTAGCGCCATTCCGCTCCGCGGTTGGCTTGACAGGAGAAACGTGTGGGTCATGCCCCGCCCAGCCCGAGCAAGCCCCATCGGGCTTCTGACAGGCCCTTGGTAGTTGCCGATCAGTCTCGATTGGCTGCTGCAACTCGGTGATGGACCGGGCATCGTGGGAAGCATGGGTTAATTAGGGAGCTGCCATGTCGGGTACGCCGGGGGTCGCCAGCTGAATGCGCGCCCGGTGCCTTGGTGAAGAGACCGACGGCTTCTCATGCGCCTGACCTTTTTCTGATATTTCTTCCCCAAGCTCTCCACCCGGGACCCCGACGTCAACCCTGCTTGGCAACAGTGGAACGACACAGATGATGACAGAACCAAGATGAAAAATAGGCAGAAGTCGAGAAGCGGCTGTCGGACTTGCAAGGTCAGGCGGGTATGTTGTTGTCCCCAATGGTGCCTTACAACACACGCGCTGCCCCTGTCTGCATGGAGACGGAGGGAGCCCTGGGCAGGAGATTGGATCCACTGACCAGTTCCATAGCTCAGGTGTGATGAGACCAAGCCTGGATGCCAGAACTGTGCCCACAAAGGGTTCGACTGTCCAGGCTACCAGCAGAGGCTTCAGTGGTCCACCAAGCACGAGAGACCGACAACAACAAACACTAGCGGGCCGGCAAACTTCACCCAGCTCGTCACCGCTGCCTCCGTGTCCATCGCCTCCACGCCCACGCCCACGCCCACCACCGAGAGTTCTGCCCATGATAGAACTAAATGCTCGCTCACGGTTCCGGTCCCCGCCAGGAGACTCGGGCTCCCCGTTGTTCCATCCCTAACCGTATCGACGTCAGGGCCGCTATCGGCGTCCGCCTCACCCCCGTCCTCATCGTCATCACCAGCCTCCTCAACACCGTCTCCGCCAACCCATTACCAGGATTTAGCAGCGAACGCCGAAAGCTATGCCAGCCTGATTCCCGCGCTCTCCCCTCAAACGGGACTCGTGGTACCCAAGGGAGAGCCGGGGTCGCCCGACGACCCGGACCAAGCACGCGACCTGGCCATGTACCAGCCGGTCGTAGACATCCCAACCTTTCTGATCGAGCACTGGTTCAAATCAGTCTGCTCGTCGTGGTCGGCTCTCGATTCTCCGACAAACCCGTACCGGCAGCTGACAGGCAACCTCTGGCAAACTTCCGATTCCGTATTTTACGCCCTGCAAGCGATTTCCGCAGCCTCTCTGGTTGAGCGGCTCCCGCACGTCATGAAAGATACGGCTCGGTCTACACCACGCAACGCGTTCCAGGCTATCGGAAAAGAACTGGAGGTCTTTCATAACAACCCCCGGCCGGGATTCCCCACAGAACTGCTGCTCTCGCTTTTTTGCATGAGCTCGTCCATGTGTTGGTTGGAGGCCCGGCAACTTGGCCAGCAATCCGTGAGAGAGGCACGGAGGGTGCTGAGGCGGATGAATTCGCAGATGCTAGACAGCGGCGCCCAGGAGCAACTCGATTTCTTCAACGGGTGCCTTGTTTACGAAGAGATGCTTCGCAGCGTTGTCAGCGACGAGGAGATCGACTTTAAGCATATGCTCAGCTGGCCGGAGCCCACGACTCAAAGACCTCTCCTGCCTACGGTCTCACATCCATGGGCCGGCGTCTCCTCTGACATACTGAGGTTATTTGGCAAGGCAATCGCCCTGTGTCGAAGGTCCCGCAATCGGTGGAGGCTCAATGGCGGAACGAGCTACCGGATCCTCCAAGGCGCAATGAAGGACATCGAGGCAGCAACGAAAGTGGAGGAATCGTTGCTGTCGGTTATCGTCCCGCCGCCTCCCGAGTGCCCTCAACCTCCCCAAACTTTCGATTCTGCTCAGACCTTGTATTGTTTAAGTGAGGCATACCGCCTGTGTGCTCTCCTGCAGCTCTACGAGACCTTCCCAGACCTGAGCATCAAGCGGAATCCGAACCTCGAAACCGCCAGTGTTTCGATGATCTGGCAATCATGGGCAACCCCTCAGGTCTTGCACGTCGTCAACAATGTGCTCGGCAAGGTCCCAGCGGGAAGTCTGAGCTGCATTCAGCCCCTTCTCTGTCTCTGTGCGGGTAGTGGTCTTAGATACGAAGACAACAGCAAAGTCCCGTTGCACAGCGGGAATCACAAGCACCCACCAAACGCCGATTTCAACACGCCAGCCGCGCCGGTGTCTGGGGCCGCCGAGCCCTTTCCACTGCCTGGCCCTGGCATGTCCGAAAACGCCATCAAAATCTCCCAAGCGCGACTTCTCATCATGAACCGGTTGGACCAGCTCGAGATATGCCTCCCCCCAAAACCGATAGGCGTGGCAAAACAACTCGTGCGTGCGGTTTGGAGCGCGTACGATGAAGAAATCGGACTCCCTCGCCGGACCCATTGGCTCGACGTGATGAGTTCCACGGGACTACATAGTTTGTTCGGTTGACCAAGATCACAACTGGAGGCTTCAAGGCCACGAATACGGATCACCCTTGGAAATTTACGGGTGTGTGCCGTTGAAACCAACACTGCTCGAACAGGCACCTGCATGCCAACATCTGTCGGGCGATGATGCGCTTGATCGTCGGGCTAAATCTCATTTTGTCGGCCCAGACACCCACGCTGTCGAGTGAAGTCCATCGCTCCGAGCCAGCAGCTGTCGGGGTTGTAACGATTTGTGGCCTTGTCCTCAAAATACCGCGGGATTGACGAGAATCTCACACACCACTCATTCGGGAGCGCTTAACCGATGGGAATTACACCAATATTAAGTCGATGAAAACGGGTTATGGGGCAGGATTGGAGCGGGAGCCTTTTTGACGGGATAAGCGGAGCCTAGGATAACACCTACGCGTTGGTTGGTCTCATGTTTCTGGAAGATGGGGCACACCAGAGGTTTCCCTCGGGGAGGGGAGGAGGTTGGGCTGGATTGGGCCAAACACTGGACGGTTGGTGGGAGGGAATTATTGGTACCTGGAATGGCCATATCTATTCTGTTCCTTATACACGTAGGCTCAGAAGATGTAACGATCTCCAGCAAAAGACATCTATCTGGTGCTTGGCACCAACAACCCATGTTTCACTCGGAAGAAGTCCCTAATCTCAACCCGAAAGCTCGTGTCATGATGCAACACGTAGAATCCTGGAAACTTGACCGCCTATGGCTAGACAAGGATTAGACTTCCGACTACTTGTTACTTTCTGCAGTGCTACCAAGAGGTGAATTAAAGTTACCCTGCAGCCAACTGGATGCATGTACATACAAGGCGTGAAACGCGGCACAGACAGGGGGGGGCGATGCAGAAGTGCGATGACGTACGGGCATCTCCCTCCCCGTCGAACGCGTTGCTGAGTGTCTCAGCTTCCAAAGCTTATTTCCCCAGACCTTCCTTGGCTGGTGATATTGGTTATGGCTTGCAGTTCCTTGCCATGTGTGCGTTCGTCGGTGATGGTGGTTCAGCTGGCCGTTGGCAAGCCACACGGCCTGGGAGACCAATCACAGTGCTTCGGCGGCATATCCGACTGGAAACTGCTGTCGGCGCGGCCGAGACTTTTAAGATTGATCCTGGTAGGTTGGCCCGATGCCAAGATATGCACAAGAGGTTGGGTGTATGGAGTGTACAAGTAGAAAACGAATGTGGCATTCGTGGGGAGGGGGATCCCGCGATCCCGGCTCTGCTCACTGGTCGACGGACACGAAGGCATGGCTATCGTATCATGGTGGCAATTTTTAAATGGGATTTGGATGCAATATTTGACTCACAAGAATCAAGTTTAAACTGTTTACTTTGTCATCACACCTGGGTCAAAGAGGGGGGGATGGAAAGACGGAGTGGCGGCGGGGGAGGAGGGTATCACTCGGAAACCACACCTGGTAGATGGGGTTGAGTACCTAGTCTGCTGTGATAGCTTTGCCCGCGTTGACTTTTTTTGTGGTCCGCCGTGCTAGTGGTGCATTTGGCTTTTACTGGTCTGAGGAACCCTGATAACTGGTTGCTCGCAGCCATGCGCGCGTTGGGATGCTGTTGCCGATATTTGTTGTGAAATAGAATCCACGGTCAACATCTTAATCTACTAGCTGCTGTAATAACCAAACAGTAAGAGCCGTGCTTTTGTTTCAACAGACAACAGTTGCTTTGCCGGGTCGATGGTGATGAATTCCACGGGGGGACCATGTGCCGTGGTTTGGACTGCTGGTTTTTAGGTAGCTGGCGTTGTGGTCTCAAGTTAAACCACAGCAGGCACGAGGTAGATGCTTGGACTTCCGAATTGATATCTTGAGCATTTTTAGCGAGTACCTGAATTTGAAGTGCCGTCACATCTCCAAAGTGCAGCTACGATTAGGTACTGTGTCACAAACCACCATGCTGAATGCACAAAAGCGGGGCACAGGACGCCTCAGACCAATCGTTAGTACAGCCAATCAGCGGCTGCTCAGTATGCTCAGCGACTGAGCAAGGAGAGCAATGTGCTCAGTGTGCTCAGTGACTGAGCAGACTGAGCACCCAGGAATTAGGAAGTATATAGTCACTCGTTCTGGAGAGCTCTGGGAGTTCTCCAGTTAGCAATCACAACTACAGTTCGCTACAAGCCCGGAAGCCTACTGTTGAGACAAGTCTTTGTTGTGCACCCTTTGGCTGCACCGAACCTAAGCACCCTTGAAAGATTACCTTCAACCGAAGCTGAACCCTAACAGGACAGGGTCCTGAAGTAGGTTCGTCACATACTGACAAAAATGGAAAGTCTTCTTGACATGTAGGACAGGGCTTCCTGTCACAGCTTTTCCCGCAACAACAAAGCACACCCAAGATATCTTTAAGCTATAACATATCAATGATATTGAGTGATATGTAAATGTACCCAAGGAGGATCTGGACTGTTTCCCTGGCGCTCTACCTCAGATAACATGCCTGGAGTTGGCTTCGTCCCCCGCAGACCATGAAAACTTTGAGGTGGAGTATACCTTCCTCCTGTAAACTGCCCATTTCCTATGACAACGGATTTACGTTCTGAAATGGAAGGCAGGAACAAGCGCGCGGCATCTAAGAATATGCAGGCGCGCACGGGTCAACTCTGCTGTTTATATAGAGGCCTCGCCCCCCTCTCTTCTTCTCGTCTTCTACTTATTCTCTCTTCATGCCCGGACCGGAGAGCCTTCAAGCAATTCGCTTCGGGTCAACGAAGTGCTTGGATACCGGGCGGTGGCACCCGTCCATCGTCGAGTTGAGACAACTTCGGAAACTAATTGACTGGTTCTTGAGATAACGGAGTTTTCTAAGCAGGAATATCCTGATCAAGGTCCATGCCTCGAACCAACGGGGGGTGTTCATAGTACTCTACTCGCCCCCCCCTGAGGTTCACGGGCAACATTCTTTTTTTTCCGTTGCGATCTCGGGGTCAGCCCTGGGGACGTGAAGAAGAAAACCCCGGCTGGCTGCTCAGGTCACACAATCTTAGCACCTGATTGTCTGCGGTTCCTTGCTCCTCGTTCGTCTCTTAGAAGTTAGTAGTGGAGGCCGCTTGACTCCGTTCTCGTTTTCCACATGCTCACATGCCTGCTTGACCATCCCATGTTAAGACGTGGAAGAGCGAGGCTGTGAATACCAACAAGCTTGTTATCCCTCTCCCTGTCACCATTCCTGCCTAAAGTGCCAATTACACAATATCTTCCCATGGTCGTCACCCGGGACTCTAGCTGGCTATACGGCTTTACCAAACGTACAAAACACAGGTATCGCCCTGTAGAGACACCAGGGTCTGTAAATGATGGCTAATTCTGCATGTACGAGGTTCGTGCGTGGAGTGGGATTGTGAAGGTCATACGGAGTATAGAAGATGGCCGACATAAAAGAAGAAAAATGAACAAACGGAAAATGAGTGAACACCGCTGGAATTGAACCAGCTACTCCCATAGCTTGGATACTGAGACCTACGAGTATGTACCACCGCACCACATGCCCGATGAAGCATTTTATTAGTAGATGGCGGCTTTCATGTACAGGAAAAAAAAGGAAAGGCAACCGAGAAAACAGAACAAGGTAACGTCGCAGTATATAGGGTCCCCTTTGCCTTTGCAGGGCAAGGATGTCCTTTTCCTTAGTGTAATAGGTAAAAGGAACCGAGCAATGGCGCTGGCCACGCGCTTGATGTCGCTCGTGAAGATGGTGACTCTGGATGTCAGCGTTGCGGTGTTGTCGTTTGTTGCAACGTGGTGGACGCTATGTAGATGGTAAATTCGCCCTCTGGTCAGTGTTCCACCGAGTCCCCATCGTGGTTCTCATGAGTCATACGTATTGTCTCGCCAAAAGTCCTCAGTGTCCATGCAGCCCTTAAAGTTCCTCATTGCCCTAATGGGGTCGACGCTTGTTCGGATTAGATGGAAAACTCGAGCTCACAGGAAGACTGGCGTATCCCCGGTTCCATGCGGGACTATGTACGTTGGTGCGAGGGAACGAAAAGAAACAAAATCGTGGGAACTGAACTTTGGAGAAGGAAATCTTTGAGCAACACTTGGTGGTGGTCGGTTCGAGTTCTTGCCGGGCTCTCGTCCCCTATGGCCGTGAAAAAGAAAAATTGAGAAGGAGAACGCGTGGGCATC